AATCGCACGCAATAATGAAATTAATCAGAATTAATGGTTTAATTCGTCGACTACAATCATTTCATTCAACTGGTATACAAATCCAGTCGCCATTCATGATTTTCCACTCAATGTCACATGATTTCCACAATACTGAATAGCGCACATCAAGGATGAGTTTTGTTGATAAGCGTTGCACATAAAAAGCGCACAGGAAATGCATAAAATCAAAGACAAACTCAATAAATTAATTAATCTCTTAATATATGCACACATAGCGTTTATCTCTTTGTTTCTCATCGAGATAGGTATGAAATATTAATGACATCTCTGGAATCACGTGCGCGGCAGTGTCGTGGGTTTTCGTCAATAAATAAATATTGATGAACGTCCCAAGACACTGTGCGGCGGTCGATAAATCAACGTGAAATTAAAACAAATGAAACAAAGCATGAGTTGCTAAAGAATATCGCGCAGGGAACAACGAATGCTTAACGATCAGCTGAACACCTGTTGTGTGGAGTTTAAGTGCGGTTTCGACACGCACCGATTTGCATTCACTACATATTAATTTGACAACATAATTATAATTATTACAGCTTTAGATTGTATCGAATATCATAACCTTAAACACCTACTAGCGACATCTATGGATGTATAAATATATGTTTAGCAAGCAATTTGTTATTTTTCTTGGTCACTTTGTTCTGTTTTCGTTTTTTATTTTCTAATGTGTTAGCTTAATAATTTTTGACGTCTTGGCCCGGGTCCATTTGGTGATTTTCTACATTTTCGCGATATTTCCAAGCGAACATTAGCATGTTCCTTAATGATGGGCATCAATCAACACGACACCGACCCACGGAAAACATTTAACTGTGTTTTTTTTCGCTTTCGAATCTTTTTTGAAGCAAAAGAAACAAAATCACAATTAGGATTCATTAAATTTAACCTGTTTGAATATCAAATCTTAAATTGAGGTTATAATATGTTCTGATTTTGTATCATAGATGGCGTTGGTTGTTAGTACAATTAACTACTGTGTTATTATGATGCCTGCTCCTTATGTAACGACAATGAGGTTTCAATAGCTTTACCGACAAGTTACAAGCGATTGTTTAACGTAGTTGTCTCCGGAATGAATTTATGAACTTCCCATGAGAAAACCTATTGAGAAAAATGTTCCTGTGATACAATGTGTTGCAGGCGTGATTTTTTTCCTCTTCCTAGGACGTGTTTTGTCTGGGTGCTTCACACATTCCGATTCCGATTCTTTTTTTCATGAATGACAACATGTGCAGTATGTAATGTATCATGCGTGTGACGTGCGATCTTATCGACGGAAGTGAGCATTTTATTGGCGAGCCGACGGACGCATCAACATTGTTATTACTTATTAAATTATTGTTATTACCGCGCCGCGGCTTGTGCAGTCTATCGGTTAATGCGATTACTCGCATTATCTTGATTTTTGCGTGTGCGCGTTGTTTTGTTTCGCGGCGAGCGCAAATTTGACGCTATAATTATTGCGTTGATTTCTATCATCTTGAAAGAGCACCTCCGCCATTATGTGTTGATATTTATATTTAGACAATTAGTGCAACCTTAGCAGCACGAGCAGAGTAGGAACCCAGCAACATGTTAATTAATATCGACGCATGTTGGCATCGGTTGACAGGCGCGCGCCTAAAAATAGGCAACCTCCAATACACGCTCGAATGCACGGCGGGCATTTCGGGTTGTGGATGCTTTTCAAACGAATCGAGTCGAGAGAAAAAATGATGATTCTGCTTTAGTTTAACGGATCTCAACGTTTCCGAAGAAGAAACAGAGTTTTGTAAGATATTTACGCGTGACAAACGAATAAAGTCATTAATTTCGGTTTGTAATGAAGGGTAAGGATCTTCAAAATAGGTTAGATTCATGATTCTATGAATACGCATGTGTGCGTGAAGGTTTTAAAAATAATTAATAGCAAACATGTTTGTATTTTTATTTTTGACTATTTTTTGAGGATATTACCACTCAAATAGAGCAAATTCTTATAAAATTAATTTATTATTACTAAAAGATGTAAAAGAACGATGACAATGCATCTATCGCATACCACAGCGGCGTTATTTAATGTCGTGGATGCGATGCGGAGGAGAAACATGTTTCGCATAGAAGAAGTGTATAATTAACGAATGTATCAAGGACGCCGACAAATGATCACAATTCGCGGACGAGCGGACACTCGTCGTCGCCGACTCGACGAAAATCCACACTCATACATTCATGCTTACTCATTACACAAACCATAACAAAAATCTTACGATATTAAATTACCAACATAAAATCCCAATGCATCTAATGCAGTCAGCATGTCTGGTTGCATATATTATAACAACTCTAAACTATGCATGTAAATATGTATGTGTGTATTTAATTTACATACGAATGCTTAACGATATCGGTGATTTATGACTTAATTAGTTTCTGTGTCGATTCGAGCGAATTGTCTCGCCCAGCGGCAATTCTTTTGATATGCATTAACAATAACGATCCAAGTGCTTGGAATTGTATCCGGTCGCCTTTAAATGTTCAAACAATTAAACTTTTATTACTTATTTAATTGTTAGAGACACGTTACTGATGTTAAACGTCGTGAGTTCTTAGAAGAAAAGAAAAACATGGAATTTCAATGCTAAATATTAAATTTAAATATTTTTGACTTTGTTTTCGCTGCAATTTGTTGAATTTTCTTGCTTTGCAGTTTCTTTCTGTATAATTAATATTTATGTCTTGTCTTGCGGTGGGTAGCAACTAATAAATCGTATTATTACACCAAGCATTATGCTTTAATGAGAGATTAATTTGCCTACGACTCAACACGCGTCATAACAATATTTATCTTAACATTTTCCTTCGTTCACATCAAAAGTGCAAAAGGTAATAAAAAACAACTTCATGATTTATCAAGTTTAATGTAATTCTTTGTTCTGAAATAAAGTTTGAATCGCTTTTTTCACGTGCTCTTCGTGATCTTTAAAGATTTAAATCGACGTTAAATCATTCATGTTGCGTCCATTATACTTAGTTTTATCTCTGTTTAGTTTGCTGCGCACCGTTGTACGCCCTCAACTTTTGGCTCATTGGTTCTGTGATATTCTGATGGCTATGTTTCGGAAGTGAAAGTCGAAAAAACTTGTCCGGGTGTCGAAAAAACTCGTAGTACCAACGCGCGATGTCTTCGCGCACGTTCTACTTTCACATTTTTCGTTTGGATAAACTTTTTTAAGGTCTTAACAAGATGTTATGAGTGAATACAAAGAAAATTTACACAAAAAAGAGCTTCAAAATGTTTATTGAAGTGAAAACGCACCTAAAGAGCGCTTTTGACATAGTATATAGGCAACCAGTACAACTTAAGTGTGTTTCAGGATCGTTTTTCTTGGAATTCTGTGCGGGTGGTTTTCAGAAGTTTTAAATTACTTGTCTATTTGAATAAAAATGTTTCTTCTATGCATTATAAGCTCTTATAGCGCTCTTATTGCTCCAAAACGAACACAAATCCTTACAGAATTAATACAGATGTCAAATTATAGGTTAAGTAAATAAGGTTATTGACATCCAGATGGCGTGGTTGCAAATATACTCCAAAAAGCAATATTATTTATATCTGAAGTATAAAAGAGAGTTATTGAGATATCTTTCATTTTGTTTTGAAACGCAAGTATTAAACACTTTGTTTATTCATAAATACACCGAAAATTAGCATTGTTTGTCTATCATGAATATATTATATGGTTTAATATGAAAATATTAACTATTGGAAAGTTTTTTGTAGTGTTTTGTTTTTCTTGCTCTCGTCATAATATTTTATATTGCTGTTCAGGGACGTCAAGAGTTTAAAACGGATTAAAACCTAATAAGTGTGGGCGTCCAGCGTTAATATTTGCATGCGCATCCTTTACACTCGGCTCGCTCTTCACTTCACTTCACTTCACTTGACTTCAAATTTATTTCAATAGAATTCTTTAAGGGGTTTTATCTACTAACTTCTCACTGGCTTTACTTCCGTGAAATATTGCATTACTTCACACATTAAAAAATTAACAAGAAAAGCGGTTTCAAATTCAAATTTCAATAAAATTTCGAGAAATAATTAAAGAAACACTTCAAAACTTTAATGATTATATTTTTTTCTGCATCCAAATTTTAATTGTATAATAATATTATTATAATTGGTATAAAAAACAATATTTGCTTTTCTTGTATTGTTTGTTCAGTAACGTTAACAATGTCATTCATAGGTTGAAGTGGTTCGATACAGAGTCACAAAGGTCAAGCCTTTTTATGATTATTTTTCTAAATATTCTGCGCAACTCGTTGACAACCATGAGCAGCACCATCGATTGTCGCAATAAAATTGTCTCGTGATTCGTTTGTTTCGCGTTGTGCGCTCTTGTCGAGGAAAATTCTCACACAATTATTATAATCTGTTTGTTCTTTCAATAACTCACCAACTCGCATCGCACAATAATTTGCATGTTTCATACGATGCGATACCATGTGTTACAAAATAAATATTTTCTTCAAAACTATTTTTATAGAAAACATTTACACATTTTAAACATTGTTCTGATTTAATTTGACAGTTTTTATGTAGTAGATATTAAAGGTTATGTTGCGTTATGTCGCGTTAGTAGGTATCATTAGTGAACGCATTGTATGCAAATTACACCATAACTCGCCAAAGACAACATTAGACGACAATGAAAAGCAAAAATAATTATTAATTAGTGTCTTCCATGCTGTCCGCCATTGCTAAACAAATTAAACAGTTGACAAACGCGCCGTGCAAACAATGCCAGCGGCAAAGCCTAAACAAACATATTCTTCATGCGATGACAGATTCTTTATTAAATAAAGAGGTTCAAGGACGGTTTTATGAATGATTTGACAATTACTAGAAACATTCCAATGCGTGCATAGTTTTTATTTGTTATATTTATCAATTTTTGTTGTTCATTTCGCAGGAAATAGTAAACCGGCTCATCCTCACGGTCATGGTCACTCTGCAATCAAAGACCTCGCGAGCGGCATGCTCGCTGGGGGCGGCGGCGCCTGCAATGAGGACAAGAAAGACGACGGCGAGCTGTGGAACACCGTCGAGGCGCAGACCGCCTTCCTCGGCCCCAATCTCTGGGACAAAACTTACGAAACAGATCTCAAGGTATTTACAACACATCCGCCATTTGAAATTTGGAAAATTTTATGTTTTACAATTAATATTCAAATAATAATTTGTAGTACGTGGACCTCGATGAATTCTTGTCCGAAAATGGCGTCTCGATGGACGGTTTGGGCTCACACGGGTCCATCGGCCCTTTGAGCTCCTCACATGGGGTGCCCAAACGAGAACGATCACCCAGCCCCAGCGATTGCATGTCGCCGGACACGATGAACCCACCGTCACCTGCAGATTCAAGTGAGTATCCACTAACCTCAAAAAACAGCTATTGACAATTGACTAGACTAATGTGGACTAATGTAAACATGGCTGATGGTGTGGTTTCTAACCTAACTTAACAAAACATGCTTTAACCTGTTTATATTTATTTGAAAACATCAAAAATTTGAATAAATATGTAAATACTTTAATTTTATTAAGAATTTTTGATGTTTTCAAATGCAAACATAAATGTCTCAGCCTGAAATCGACTGAAAAAGAATCTTCAACGAAACAACCATTATTTCTAGTATTAGTATGTTGTAATACGCGGCTTATCTCAAATCAAAACCACGTTCAATGTCACTGATGAATTTTGAAAGTATTAAAAGTGTGTCCAAGTTGCTTCTTGCTCTCCGGTGACGAGTTCAAGATTCTATTTTGGCTGTAAACCTTATCGCGGCGCGCCGACTCCAGCCGCCATCTTTGAAAGCTTCCATCTTGTGTTTTGACGTGTCCTGCGTGTCGTGTAACTTTCTGGATCGTCACCACGTTAACCACGCCGTGTTTGTGTGTGAACCGCTTCCTGTTTCGCATCTGTTGCTCGTTTGTTTCCGGCCGGTAGCCGGTAGCGCGGCTCGCGTCGCCGCCCTCATTCTCTCTCTCGGTGTTACACCATACTAATGTCTAAAATACAGTTTTTTCTGAAGCCTTGTCGATGGCTTCGAGTAGTCGCGACTTTGATCCACGGACAAGAGCATTTTCAGACGAAGAGCTCAAGCCGCAGCCGATCATCAAGAAGTCGCGGAAGCAGTTCGTGCCCGAAGACCTCAAGGACGACAAATACTGGGCGCGTCGCAGGAAGAACAACCTAGCGGCGAAGCGGTCACGCGATGCGCGTCGCATGAAGGAGAATCAGATCGCCCTGCGTGCTGGTTATCTAGAGAAAGAGGTAAAACACAAGCGGCAACACTTTGGGGAATGCAACTGCTGCCAGTGGTGACTTCTAGCGGCGAAAACCTGACTTAATCTCGACCGCCAGACGTCGCTGTCTATAATTTTAAATAATCTGTAATAATATTGTTTGTTTCTTGATTTTTTTAATAGAATATAGGTTTGCGGCAAGAACTGGAACGACTGAAAAAAGAAAACCTCCTGCTACAAAACAAATTGGCGAAGTACGAGGACGTGTAACGCGCGCATCCATTCAGCGAAGCACATTTGTAACGCCAAAACTGGTCTCCGTAAATTGTAAGCAACCTAACCTAAAAGAATAGCTCACCACACATAACCAACAAAACAAAAGAGGAAAAGAAAAAAAACGCAAACAGATCAAGCAGCAGCACCACGTGTCGTCGTCTTCGTCGCTGGAGCAACGAAAACAAAACACACAAACAAAACAAACGACTAGCCACATTGTATATAAAAGCATACACATCGTACCGTTTAGTAGTCATCAAAACAAAACAAAAACCCTAGCTCGTAAGGATATTAATTTTAGTTGTTAAAGGAAAACAAATACGCAGTGGGTTAAGCAAACAAGTAAAGAAAACAACGGCGTCAACAAAAAACACACAGAGAATAACTAAGAGAAAACATAATATATATATTATATTAATAAATCTATTCAAATATTATATATGAATACTATAATGATTATAAAGTTCAACGTAGCAAACCAAACATTCAGAAAAAGATTGAAAAATTTACAAAAAAACAAAAAGAGTGCATAACACAAGTTGCGATCGGCAGATGGCGCTACACGCGCGGATTTCATGCGGGTTTTTCATCGTCGACATCAAGCATCCAATTCAAAATCCAGTGAGATATTATAAAATGCATCGTGATCATTGTAGAATAATCGCTTTACGATTGAATATTATATATTTGTAATACAAACGCTGTATCAGCGTTTCGCAATTACTGCCATTGTCAATTAGGTTATGTGTTGCGTGCGCTCCGCCTGGTAGCGCCATCTCGCCGACGGCAAACTAAGCCTTTAGTTTAAAAACTTACCTAAAGTAAAAGATTTCATCGCATTATGATCTAGACGTGTAGAAATTACGAACGTTTAAAACTATTCTAACACACACAGAGCTATTTAAGAAAACAATGCGAAATGTCGATTATATTCTATGAAATTGTATGTATAAAAAACACGTTGTGAGAAACTTTAAGATGGCCGAGCGTATGAGTGACACACCGCAAGATGGCGGTGTGTCCATATGCGAGTCGGCGCTTGTTAATCCTTAACTAAAGTAATTGTTGATTGTTTTTATGTTTATATAGTCTATTTTTTGAGTTGAGACGCAGCGGAGAGATAACAAAACGTAAAACAAAACAAAACAACCCGAATGCTCACAATCGATGGACGAATTAATGAGAAACAAGATGGCAGCTGAATAGCATATGTAGCAGTTTGAACGTGTAGCGGATTTTCTAGGTTACGTAAATTTAAATGACATTAAATGACACTTGATTAAAAATGCACATTTAGAGAGATGAACTCAACAAGAGAGGAAAACAATTGAAGCCGCTTAACAGAAACTTGTTGTATTTATTTAGAGGTTATAGAACGAACGCAACTAGAATATTATACATTCGTAGAGAAAAGAGGTTATGATTAGGTCGTTAATTCGTGAAAATTTTTTGCGTTGTTTGTTAGTAGAACGTGAATTAATTCCCCAATTCGGCAAACTATATAACGACGAGCGAACAACATCCGGTAAACAAAACTGATACCATATATAAAAACGTTGTTATTTAATGTGTTACAAGTGAATGACAAAGACAATAACTGATTGGGGAGATTAATTAATTGCAATTATTGTTACGAGTAAAAACAAACAAACAAAACGTAGTTACCTTTAACATAGAACACACGAAACACATACACACCAGAGGGCGCCACGAGCATGAACTACCTAATGTACCTATCTAATGTTTAATTATCGTTTAATTACCCCGTTTAAGTTTAAGTGTACATTGCAATGCGAGATTTTTTTCATTTTTGTTGTATATTTTTGAGTTTATATTGTGTTTTGATTGTTTGTACATAGAGTTCATTTGTTTGTAAACAAATCCAACCGTAAATTTTGACAATATTCGAATTTGTGGTTGGATTTTTGTTATGACGTGTTGCTTCTTGGGTTGCCTATACTCTATACACAAACCACACACACTCATTGTCGATACCATCACTTGGATGTTAAAACGTTTAAACGTGTTTTGATGTAATGTTACCTACTCACTGACAAAATGTTACCAGTTAAAGCTCGAGTTGTGACTGTTGTGACTCAAATCAAATGTGGTGCGAAGGGAACGCAAGCAAACGTCGAACGGTGATGTCAAAATATGTGAACGCGTACTGAATGAATTTTTTGATAAAAAAATATAGTTGCCTTACAAAAGTGACACACGATGAATGACGCTGAACCTTTTATACGAGAATGATATTGCAAGATTTTGAATTTGCGTGCGCGAAATGCCGTTTTTATATATGAACGCCAACGATGTCAATACGAAGCGATGAATGAGAATATGTTATGATACGTAAATGTTACATGTTGAAAAAGTTTATAAAACAAATGAATTGTTTGACACATGATGAACACCCACCACAGAAACACATACATAAACACACAACGTATTTTTCATTACCAGCCACACCGAACCCCGAAACGATTTTGGATGTATTTATACGTAAATTATACTCATGTTACCATCTGTACATTTTACTTGTTACTCTGTTTCGGACACCAATCTGCAAATGATGAATGGCTTACGTTTTAAGTACTTTTGTTACCAATTGTTATTGATTTGATTGTTTATTATGATGTGCAATGCGAAGAGAGATGCGAAACAAGTGAACAATTGAACGACGGCCTCATTCAACCAAACAAACAAAGCAAACAAAAGTGTGCGCAAACAAAATACAATATTATTGTAGCGAGATTTGATTTTTTGAATTTTTTGAATGGGTTTTTCGTTTCTTACTGCTCTGTCCTACGATTTTAGGCAAAGTTGCGATGAAATTATGTTGTTACAAGATGAAACGTTATCTTTTTTTTTTTGTTTTGTTATCTTTATTATTATCTCGTTTTTAATTTTTATTATTATTATTATTATAAATACTGTATGATTGCTTTTTATTTTTGTTCATGATTCATTTTTCTTCTTCTTTTCTTTCTTCTTTCTCGGTTCATTTCGATTCATTTTATTTAAATTGTATAAAAAATCGTTGCTGTTCACGAGCATTAAAATATATAAGTAATGTGGTAGAAAAACAGAAGCATATTATTTGTAACTCGTATTTTTGATGTCCTCGTCTAGCGACTGTTTAGAGACTTCTAGGGAGCTTAACAATTGAACGTAGAGCACTCTTGTCGTAGTATAATTAATGAAGAAAGCTGGCGACTCTTATTGTGTTGAATAATCTGTTAATCTGTTAATAGTTTGCATGGAACTATTTGGCGACTTTACAACGACTTATTACTTCACAGCTATAATGAAATACGTTAGTTAAACATTTTAATTATGATAGCGTAACATTTAGATCATTTGTAGTACCATTGTAGATATTTTTGTAAAAAAAATGAAATATGAAAGCAACAACGAGAAAATTAATAGATTTGATTTTTTGTTTTTCCAATATGTGTTTGTCTTTTTTCTTATGTGTGTAAATAACTGTTTGTGTGTAGATTTTAGTTGAAAGTTGTAGTTTTATGCGACATTTTGAATTCATATTTTAAATTGTGTAGAATGGTGTAACTTGGGTTGCGGATAATGTCAGGTAAGAAAATATTTGAATTTAATAAATAACTATGAGTTTATAAACACAATTTTTTACTGATTGATAAAAATAATTAAGAAAAGGTGCGGAATATTTAACGTAGTATTGCATGTCAAATTTAAATTCCTCAAATGCCGCACTGAACTGAGCATTAGTTTAGAGGTTATATTTTGTTCAATCAAAACAAACGTCGTAGTAACAAAGTTTAAAATGGATAACAGATTCACAATAAATAGTGCGCATCAATCTTTCACTGATAAACAAAAAGACCTCTTTGCCTCACTCGAAAATGCAGAAAAATCAGCCCCAAAACTCATACAAAACCAACAAATGGAAGTAGATGACAATGATGACAAAAACCAGAATTTACATCAAAACAAAGAGATGATAGACGACGAGATCGGAACGAATGTTCAGGTAAAAGTGATAAGAATCCACGGATGAGGCAGTACAAATCTCGCGAAAGTATTTTCAAACGTCCTGAAGCACCAATCTCCAGATGTTTACCACATGGAAGAACACCAGGTTTCAGAAAGAACCCAAACCAATGGACAAAATATACATTAGAGGATGTTAAGGATGAAGACATGTCAGATAGAAGTAATACACAGGCAGCTTTTTCATTTCTTAAAAGCTTAGAAAAGTCTAAGAGTGAATCAGAGGAGAAACTTGACAGTTTGCCAGAGAAGATTATTTTTAAGAAAAGCTCAATAATCAGAAAGAAACAAACCAACATAGAAGATAAAGCAAATGAAGAAGAAGATAAATGTTCATTTAGAAGTTCTAAAGTTGTTATGCCTGAGTATGTTGTGGGGCAAGCAGGGAAAAAAGACAAAAAGAAGAAAAATAAAGTTATTTCTACTAGCAGTAGTGAAACATCAAAAGTACAATTAAAATTAAATCATTTAGATGATGAGTATGAAGATGACATGTAAATATTTGATTAAATTTAATTTTGTGCTAATATGTAAAAAATTTGTCCAAATAGTTTTATTTTAAGTGATTATAAAGCAATTTCGGAGTGTCAATTGAATGATAACTTTATATTTTAACTTTATGTGATATGATGTAACGTAATATTGAATCAATTAGTGATAATAATTCATTAATAACTGCAAAACAAGTGTAAATATAACACTATATACAGTTATATTAACTCCTGCTAGATGTCGCCCCGATCACACCTGCAGCCATCTTCGCAAATTTGGGTCATTGACTCAGTGCACCTCGGTGATCCGCAAGCTGCAAGAACCCGAACGATAAAAAACAACGCAAAACAATACCGGTCAAATAAACAAATATGTGTACAGCAAACACCATCACCCAGTGCAGCAATCAAGCCACTTGAAATGCATCGCCGGCGGCGCAAAACGCGACGATGAGTCTACTCTCCTCCGTATTCACGCAGCCCAAACGGAAAAATGAACACATTTCAACGAAACAAACATATTCTATTAGTCGTAACCCTGCTAGTGGCAGTAGCTAGTAAGTTGAGCGTCTGTGATATCGCGGAAACTGCCAGGCATGACGACGAGGACATCCTCGAGTCGCCGCTGTGTTGTAACCTCACCACCACTGAGAAGGTTGAGGTGGAGTACTCATCAAAGGTGGTTGAAAATGAGTACATTGTTACCTTCAATGGGTATTACAAGAGTCAAGCGCGCGCGTCGTATATCACTGCAGCTTTAAATAACTCGGGAGTGCATCATTGGCGCATTCTGGCCAGAGAGAATCCTGCTAGTGATTATCCAAGTGATTTTGATGTTGTAATCATAGAGGATACACAAAAACTTGAAGGTAGATAAGAGTTTACATGCAATTGTTTTCTGTTGTTTGCGATTTTCGTCTAATTTTGTTTTAATTTGACAGGTTTGGGTGCATTGCGCGATCACCCATCGGTAAAAGGAGTAACATCACAACGTATGGTATTACGTACACTTAAATTTGTAAGTAATGAGTACGTCCGCCGCGGACGTATTAGTCTCTCTCAGAACAACCAGTTCTGGCAAGCGACCGGCCGCCACACGAGTCGCCGCCTCCTCCGCGCCGTCCCTCGACAAATCACGTCGGTCCTACAAGCGGACGCTCTGTGGAACATGGGCATCACCGGCAAAGGCGTGAAGGTCGCCGTGTTTGACACGGGCTTATCCAAGACACATCCACATTTTCGCAAAATCAAGGAACGCACCAATTGGACGAACGAAAAGACTTTAGATGACGGATTAGGACATGGTACTTTTGTTGCGGGAGTAATCGCATCCAGTAAGGAATGTCTTGGTTTTGCACCTGACTCTGAATTGCATATCTTTAGAGTATTCACGAACAACCAAGTCTCGTATACATCATGGTTTCTAGATGCATTTAACTACGCCATCTTGAAAAAGATTAACGTTTTAAATTTGAGCATAGGCGGGCCTGACTTTAAGGATTTTCCATTTGTTGACAAAGTGTGGGAGTTGACGGCGAATAAAGTCATCATGGTATCAGCGATTGGGAATGACGGTCCTTTATATGGGACATTAAACAATCCAGCTGATCAAATGGATGTTATTGGTGTAGGGGATTAACTTCGAGGATCAAATCGCGAAGTTTTCCTCTCGTGGAATGACCACCTGGGAATTACCGCAGGGTTACGGAAGGGTTAAACCTGATATTGTTACCTACGGTGCAAATGTCAGAGGTTCCAACATTAAAGGTGGATGCCGTTCGTTATCAGGAACAAGCGTAGCTTCTCCTGTAGTAGCCGGAGCTGTTACTCTTCTTGCCAGCGGAGTTTTACATCGACAGGATGTCATCAATCCAGCCAGCATCAAACAAGCACTTATGGCATCTTCAAGACGACTACCAGGTATTAACATGTTTGAGCAGGGACACGGCAAGTTAAATCTCGTCAAGGCCTATCAAATTCTAAGTAGTTACAAACCTCAGGCTAGCTTAAGTCCTAGTTATATAGACTTAAGTGAATGTCCTTACATGTGGCCGTATTGCACTCAACCGCTGTATGTAGGCGCAATGCCTGTGATTGTCAACGTCACTATCTTGAATGGATTAGGGGTGTCTGGTAAAATAGCCTCTAAACCTCAGTGGTATCCATATACACCACAACAAGGTCAATTGTTGGACATAGCAATATCTCATTCGGAGTTATTGTGGCCATGGTCCGGATGGCTCGCGGTGAGTTTTTCTGTCAATCCGGAAGCCGCAGCTTTTGATGGTTTAGCTCAGGGTCATATCAGCGTTACAATTGAATCCCCGCCTGCACACGGTGAGTTAGAACCACGCCAAAGCACTGTTATTCTGCCTATCAGAGTGAAAATTATCTCAACACCTCCGAGAAACAAACGAATTTTATGGGATCAGTATCATAACTTGCGATATCCACCCGGGTACTTCCCCAGGGATAATTTAAAAGTGAAGAATGATCCTCTGGATTGGAATGGTGATCATATTCACACAAATTTTAAAGAAATGTATCAAAATTTGCGGAATGCTGGTTTTTACGTTGAGGTCTTGGGTTCACCTTTTACTTGTTTTGATGCGTCACAATATGGCACCCTGTTGATTGTGGACCCTGAAGAAGAATATTTCCCAGAGGAAATTGCTAAATTAAAGAGGGATGTAGATGCAGGGTTGTCGTTGGTAGTATTTGCTGATTGGTACAATGTGACAGTAATGAAAAAAGTTAAGTTTTATGATGAAAATACGCGACAATGGTGGATGCCAGACACTGGTGGGGCTAACGTACCTGCTCTGAACGATCTTCTGGCTTCCTGGGGGATTGAATTTGGCGATCGAGTGTTTGAAGGCGATTATAAACTTGGAGATCATGACATGATGTACTCTTCGGGGACATCTATAGCTAAATTTCCGCAGGCCGGGGTTTTAGTTGCGAGGAAATTACGAGATCAAGGCATTCAGGTGTTGACTGATGTGGAGAACAAAGAAAAGTATAAAATACCAATCTTGGGTTTGTTGCAATCTACAGCTACGGATAAAAGCGGTCGAATTGTTGTCTATGGTGATTCAAATTGCATCGATGGTAGTCATAATGAGCAGCCATGCTATTGGATGTTGAACGCCATCTTGGAATATACGTCAACTTCACATCTACCGACTGTGTTTAAAGAGGAGACTGAATCACCGCCGGTTTATGAATTTGTCGATGTTCCTGCACGAATGGAAGGCAACCGACTTTATCGATATTCAAAGGTATTAGAAGGTCATCTTGGCGAATCGCAGGCGAGAGCTTTGCCACAATGTCCGCATCTAGTCTATGCTCATCCTATTCCTCTAAACATATCAGCACCGACGGATTTCTATCAATCTCAGAAGTTGTTGTCTATTACTGAAGACACGCCGGTTGATGCGATGAATCATGTCAATCAGGTCAACAACGCGGCTAATTCACATAATAATATCAAAGGTATATAGCGGTTTATTTATTTTTTGGTGTTTATGATTGGTTTAATGATTTAATAGAATGAGTTGCAGACGCTTCCGGTATGGATACGGATGAGGAGGTGTGGAGTTGGCGGAAGAAGCAGCTGGAGCCGGCAGGCGGAAATGGACCGGGCGAGAACTTCAATGTCACTTCCGGCGTGTTGCTCTGTGTGACACTGGTTTTGATCTATCTATCGGTTCGATGGTGTCGACAGAAATCTAAGCCAAAGCGGCGGAAACCTGCACGGATGAAGAGACTTCTGAGTATGATTCCATGCGGGCGGATGCCTGCCGTTTGAGGATTGTTTGTAAAACAATTGGGTTTTAAGTATGTGATACGTTTCGTTTCGACTTCTCTTAAATGTGATTAATTTATTTTCGTACACCTGCAATAAGTCATAAGTTCAAAGATTAATAACATTTAATATATAATTGTAATTAAATATTAAGTGTTATTTGTTTTATTCTAAAGTGGATTTAGTCTTGTGATACGGTTTTAATTATGGTTTTGTGAATATTATTTCATGCATAATGGGTTGCCTGAATTAGGCGTTGCTAAATTTAAAATTACATCTTGTAAATTCTTGTTTTAATCGATGTTTCCAGAAATACTACGCATTTAGAATGTTCCATGCTAAATAAGTAGAAAGAAATATTGTTTATTTAGAATAAGGTTTCACAACATCTCGGGTTGCAAGTGAGTTTAAGTTTGAAATGTCATTGTCCTGCTTATAACCTCAAGTTTTCAAGTGACCGTCAAGAAGTGAAGCCGCACTTGCAATTTGTACTAAAATATATTTTTCTTAAAAGTTTTAATTAACTGGGAACATAGTCAACATGTCTGGAACTATAGTAGTGTTAACACCAAATGGCCGTCGACAATCAGTTAAAGTGACACCAAATACAACACTTTTGCAAGTATGTATTTATAACAATTGCAAACAATTTCATCATCTTGCTTAAAGATGTGTATATAATCTTCTTATTTGCTATGTTATTGTTAAGGTTCTTGAGGAAGCATGTCAAAAACAAGGTTTCCAAGCTGAACTCTACAATCTCAAGCACCACAGAAAAGTTTTAGATGTCACACTCACAGTAAGATTTGCTGGACTACCAAATAATTGTCTTCTTGAACTGATTGAAGCTGAAACTGCCAGGACTGAAAAATCAGTTACTGTTGGGGTGCAATTAGAAGATGGAAAACGATTAATGGACGATTTTAATACATCTGCAACAGTTGAGCAAGTGTTGAAGAGACTTTGTCCAAGTGAAATCAATGAAAACACAGTTGTCATCTACATGAGGAATGAAATCTATGGTGAAGAATTGAATGTAAAAAACCTGAAAGATTTGGGGATCACATCAGGACGGGCGATGTTACGTTTAATGCACAGGTAAAATATTTTTCCTTTTTTTCTTTTTTGTAATAAATAAGTTTCTGATATATTAGAATTGTACGCGAAAACTTTCAAAAAAACACTTATCAGGCACTTATTTTGTAATTAATGTATGATAGTTATATTTATTGATGAAACCGAAAAAATTAAAGGAATCCAAAAGAATTGAAGGTGCAGGCTAATGTCTCCGCGCCATTGCCCGCGAAGCCGGTAGAAGAGAAACCTTATAAACGGCAGTTTCAGCCGGTACAAGAAACGCCTAAACCCTTGCCGATGCCACAATCACCAAAAAATAGCGATACAATTGAACCGACCAATGCTGATGCGCAAAGTACTAATCATAACACTGATAGTTCTGCAGAGAGTGAAGATATGAAGCGGAAACAACCTCTGTTTGTGAAGAAGGATGTGTTCAGTATACTGCGAATGGAGAAGCGGAAACAGACTGACGGACAGAAAATCAAGAGTCAACCTCGTGTTACACAAGAGGAGAATACAACGTCTACAAAAACAAAAGATGATTTCATATTTGTAAGTTGCACATAACCATAATTTAAAACTAGTATTTCTTTTAGTAACGTAAATTGTTATTTTGTAGCTTGGGGAACGCAATGCAATGCTCTTTTCTTTTGAAACCGCTCAAGCTGTAAGCAGCGATGACCTGCCCGATGATTTCTTTGAACTGTCCATCACCGATGTGAAGAAACTCTTCAGAGATATCAAACAACGCCGCATCGATCTAGAAAGTGGAAATTTGATGACAAGTGCAATGCGTGAGTTGGAAGCTAATAAGAAACAACTACGTGCTCTTAATCAGTACAAGAAAGCTGTGATTCGTATCAAGTTTCCTGATCGCTTTGTACTGCAAGGTGTGTTCAAACCAAGTGAGACTGTAAGGGATGTAGAAGAGTTTGTTCGGGAGTATGTTGCCGATAAATCGTTGCAATTCTACCTGTGTAAGTATAAAACTCATTTGAAAGTTTAGTTCCAACAGTGTTATTTTTTTATTAAATGTAATTTTAAGCAACTTGACAACATGAATGTTTATAGAATGATATATAGATAAATTTTTGTTATATAATTTCTTGAGGTTATGTGGGGTTATTTTGCGTTAGTATATTATTATATTCGTATATATTTATTTATTTTGCAGTCACAACTCCGCCGAAGACGATTCTGGAGAATTCAATGAACCTCCTCGAGGCTGAGTGCGTCCCCGGCGCTTTACTGCACTTCGGTTGCGACGACAAACGCGAGAATTACTTGCGCAGCGACATCTTGGATAAAGTCGTGTCGACAACCAGTGCTGCCACCGCGGCGTCCCAAGCAAGGTTAGATAAGTTATAACCTAGAAGTAGATTGTTCGTTGTGTTGTTCACGTTTAAAGTTAATTGATTTGTTTGTTAGAACGGAAAATGTTAGAGTGCCCCGTGTTGCCGATGATGACGATATGGATATCTCCGAATATCTGACACCGGAAACAAACGCGGCGCCCGCGTCGATTAGTAGTGATTCAATGGATTACGAGCCGCGTGTCGCCCCGCCACCAACCGAAAAGCTACCCAAGTGGTTCAAACCTTCAAAATAGACCTTCACAAGGTAAAATTATTTAATACTATGTTGTGTAACAAAAATATAAACTTAAAGTTTTCACTTAAATTACTGGAAAGGCAGTTTACGTAACGTTACGCACTTAAAATTCGGGACGCATTAATACTCCGTGTTGATTGCTCAAAAAAAACAAAATGGCTGCAGAAGTAAAACAAAAGTTGTTTGGAGCAGCTCCCTGCGCGAAAAACTAAGATATGGCTGCGTGATATCACTTCGAACTCTTAGTCCGAATCGACTTCCTTTTCCAAGTGGAAACCCATTGGGCCCAACATCGTGCTTGACGGGCCTGCTTCACCCAGCTGCGACTTGTAAGACTCTAGAATATTCTTCAGCGCGTTCATGTCGATATCAATCGGCTTAAAGTTTTCAATATCGTCGAAGTTATCCTTTTCATCTCGCCCCTTTCCTTCCTCAGTTTTCGTGACGAAACTTTCACTGATTGTGGTATTAGCCAGCTCCGCATCCATTTGATCCATGTATTCCTTCATTTTCGTCTTTAACTCGCCATATTCCATGGGCACTTCTCGCTCATCTTCATGTCCATAGTCATCCATATCTGAATCTGATTCCAGATCCCATGAATCATCCTCGGGTATGACGAAATTTAAAATGTTTTGGACCGCGCACGAGAATGAATTCGGATCGAAGTTGATATTCTCGCCATTTTTCGGTTTAGAATTCGAGTTTGAATTTAAAGATGGCGGCGGTGCTTGAGTTGTTGTGAGATCAGCATCGGGGAATTCAGCGCCATCCGTGGTGGAAATGTGCTCCAAAAAATTTGTTATCTTTTTGGAGAAGTTTCCAGCGTCCGTTTTACTCAAAGATGTCGAATTGTTTTTACCACCATAGCGTTCTTGCAGCATGTGATCTAAATCCTCAGCGGAGATATTCAACCACTCTTCACTGTCATCCTCTGGTAAGCTTCCTTCATTCCGCACGACTTCTTCTTTGTCTAAATTACGCGATAATTGCACGATTTCTTGCCCAACAATAGGAGCTGACTGCATTGAGTCACGATTCTCTTTATAAAACTCTCTCGCTTTCGATAGTAAACTATCATACTCTTTAGAATGCTCCAAGAGGCCATGAAAGTATCCTTTTGCTTTCAAACTATTGAGATAACCATGCCACGCTTTGTCGCTTTCAACATCGGCACTAGACTTTGCCTGCGAAGCGAGTATTTCAAATCCACACGCGATTTTCACTCCCAACAACTGCGCTTTGTATTTTTCACTGGATGCAGGCGGTAATTCCCATCCAATATTCTTCTCTGGTAAATATTTCGAATGTGTGATCATTGCATATAAAAATTTAGTGAATGTAACACTGCAATAAATACGATTCTCAGGCGGGAAGTATTTCATCGCTCGACATGCTCGTAAATCGATACTGTCTCGGTTACAGAAAGCGAGTATAGCTGGTGCTATAAGATTAGGTTTGTGTGACAAAATGGCCGCGATAGCCACAGGCAAATACGCCTTTGTTCTATGGAGGTTTTCTTTGATGCGGGCGGGGTAATCTTTTGTCTTTTTGTTGATTGCTGCCTGAATATCATGTGAGGCGATTGTCAGACTAGGATTTCGACGTATTTCAGAAACAGCCTCAGTAACTTTCAAAACTTCATCATAACCATTGGTAGAGTTCTCTAATGGTGCAATTATGTGCAGTTTTCCATCATAGAGGTACACTCTTTGAGAACAAGTCTCAGGTTTAGCCCAAGAAGGCAAAAAGTCAGCAGCTTCAATCAGGAGAAATTCATTATCACTATCCACAACCCTCACAACTAAGCCTTTTATCTCTTTTGTCAGTTGAGTGAGAAGATGGACAATAAACCATTCATCTTCAATGTTGTCCCCAAAGTGTGTCACTCCATACAAATGGGCAGGCAAGTCCTCTGAACAATAAAAACATTAAAAATCAATAAAATTCAAGTTATATTTATATAAAATTAAGTACCTATCTATTATTTATTTACCTCTATCATCTTCATTGCACAAATAATTTGAAATTGAAGTCCTGGCTGTGAGTTTAAACTCATCTCTGTGCCAGATATAATCCTTGGTGTACTTCTTAGCAATCAGATTCACTTCTCTCAGGACACTGTTAATCATCAACTCTTCTTCTTTATTATCTAGCGGAGTAGCCTCTGGGAATAGGAAATATTCCACAAAATCTTGCTCGCGGACGAACTCCAGAATATTCTTCTTTGTTGACATGTTTAGTTTATTATGAATGAATTTTACTTAATTGAGCAGCAGAATATCTTGTTTGTTCAACAGTAATCTGTCATTGTTCCACGATTTCCAGACGGTCAATGTCTTGATTAGTAATCGAGTCGCTAGACGTGACTAACAAGTTAATGAGTGAATCAATTTAACGATCACTTCAAAGAATTCAACATGCATCTCTAACCCTCAATATTGTTGTCATAACAGACAGTTTGTGCAAGATACTGTATGATTTGACGCATGCGCAGCTCGAATTTTTTGAATACATTTGTTTCGCAACGTATGCAACCTACGTTACATGCTTTAAATTGTCATTTACAGTTGACACTCGGCGCACGTGTGTTTTCATATTTAGTTTTTTACTCCAGTTTGTTAATCATCAAATTGTATAAATTTCGATTATTTTTCAACACTCCACTGCGATTTTCTTCAGTGCTATATTTACCATGGTTCAGTAAAGGTAATCGTTTGTTTGCAATTTGTTTCCTGCTTGAATTGTCAATTGTTTTGTTTGATAACCTGCAATTCGCGTAATATTTCTACACGATTCAAACGTGCGCTCGCTGAAAATGTGAATTCCGCACCCACTGACAATCAAAATAAACTCATTCTTCCTGTTGGGGGGAAATCTAAATTACGCGCAACAAAACAAAAAAAATTGAATGTTGCAGGTCAGTCCATGTCTTGCAATCACCAACAACCAATCTCAGCTTGCTATGCAATCACTGGCTGATAAACGCGAAGCACGGCTGCAGCGCAAGAAACAGAAATTAGCCGCGCTCGTCACGCTCACACAAATGAAGGACATGGAGAAAAACAACAACACAGACATCAAAGACAACAAAATCAGCAATGAAAAGGACACACATCTGCCGGACAATGCGGTGGATGCAGAACCAAGTCCGAAACGGCTTTGTGTCCAAAACGGTACAGCTCTAACAGAAACTACAAATTCTCCACATCTGGAAAAACCTACTTTTGACCTGTCTGTAAAGCAAAGAATGACTGATGAAGAATTCAAACAGTTTAAAAAGCTAATTAACGAGCGCCGGAAACATTTCGGCGCGATACCAAAGTTTCACTTGCGCGAGCAAGGGGAAATGGCTTCTTTGAGTGTAGATATCGACTCGCGACTGCCTCTTTTTCTTACTGATATCCAGCACTTAATCATGTACTCACAACTGGGACCATTGTCCAGTTACAACCCATCGCGATGGTGTAACCTGGAAAAATTCTCAAAGATACGCCACACAAATGTGTTTATTATTGAGAATTTATCCCTGTACAACTACGAATCGCACCAATCAGAGTACAAGTTCCTTTCGGGTAATTTTCACGATAAGGTTGAAATCTTAGCGCCTAAGTTATACAACGGAGACAGTGTTCAAGAAATTGCGACTGTTTCTTTAACGACAACTCAACTTAGGAAGTATATAGGCACACATGGCAATATGATTGCAGCTGCTGATAAATGTCCCGAGGTGTTTAATTTTATGAAGAATATTTTTCCTCAGGCGGAAAATCCAAATAAATGTGCCAAAGGTGACGGTAAAACCGAAAAGAATAAAGATCAATTTCCACGCACAGATATTCTGCTTTCCGGTTGGCAAATGGTCGAAGAAAACTTCCCGCTGCCAATTAAAGGACTCTGGGAGCGTAAGTATAGGGATATGTACTTACAAAGGATAAATATGATGAGGTAACACCGACGAGTCCAATGTACGGCATGGATTGCGAAATGTGTAAAACTAGTACTGGTGATCTTGAGTTAACTCGAGTTTCTATCGTGGACGAATCTATGAAGACGATTTACGATGAGCTTGTGAAGCCCGACAATCCAATTACGGATTATCTCACACGGTTTTCCGGTATTACCGCTGCTATGATGCGTCCAGTGAAGAAACGCATCCAAGATGTTCAGGAAGATATTAGAAAAATGTTACCAGGTGACGCTATCATTGTAGGACAATCATTGAATAATGATTTTCATGCTTTAAAAATGATGCATCCGTATGTTATTGACACGAGTATCATTTTCAATTTAACTGGTAATCGCAATCGAAAAACTAAGTTAAAAACTTTGTCAATGGAGTTTTTATCAGAGAGTATTCAAGAAGGTAGTAAAGGACATTGTTCAACTGAAGACAGTTTAGCATCGCTTAAACTCGCCAAGTTAAAACTCTCGAAAGATATTTATTTCGGTGATGCGGTGATGTCGAATATTCAAGCGCAGATTCGGCAACCATCCGAGCTAGGAACCGCTAGTTATGCAACTAGTATGTTAAAGCAGGTGACGCGCAAGGAAAAGAAGGCTTTTATTGCGGCTCGTGAGGAGTTGGCTTTGAAGTATTGTTACTTCACTGAGAAGAAGAACACGGTGATTGATAACAAGCGAATGGTGGTGAAGATTGCGACAAGTAATGATGATGTGGTGGAGAAGATTGTGAAAAGGACTACGACCGATTTATTGATTGGGCATGTTAAAATGCCGGAAGTGGATGGCGTCGAGATGGCGGCCATGGCCGATGGCTGGGTGAGTCGGATTTGGGAAAACACGGAGACGCCGGCGCTGAACATTGTCGTCTTCGCTGGCGGGCAGGACGCTGGCAACGGCGTCTGTTTCATCAACATGAAGACGTAGTTAGTAATTATTAAGATTTTTTCATGCATATTAAATAGCTATACAAGTTTTGTATAGTCATACAAGTGACAATTTTCAAGTTATTGGCTGCTAACAGCGAGTAAGAAGCATTTATTAAGTTGATGGTGACTTTTTTAATTTCCACGAAGTTTATTTTCCAGGCAGTAGTAGCGACTTGCTGCTTGTGAGCATTTGGTTTTCTCTTTCTCGCTTGCTTTTGCACAGTCGTCAATCCAAGCTTTGATAGTTGGATTGTTTTGTTTTTGTTCATCGAAATTGAAACTCATATCATCGTTCATAACTCCTCTATTCTTTTGGAAACAAAACATGAAACAGGCGTAACTCTGTTTTTCCACCAAGTTTTCAAGGCTTTCCATTCTGTATGCTTGCATGTCGGCGCCATGTTTCTCTACGCAGTCGTCTCTGATTTTATTTATTTCATTCTGTACTTCGCGATGCAAACAATAGACAAATTCCATCGCCTTTTCGCAGTCATCTTCGATAGTGGTTGTGTTTTGTTTGCAGAATTTTCGATATGATGATGTTTTTTCGTCGGCGGTTTCATCATAGTTCAACTTTTCTAAAGTGCATTTATAACTGCATTGCTTATCGCACTGCCTGTTCGCATTCTCAATTTTAGACAACTCTTTGATTAGTATTTTGTTTTCTTCCTGCGGTTAAATATATTGTAGTTAAGATGAAATAATTTATTATAACAAGGTGACTTACTAAAACTGCGTTGACCACAAAGAAGGTGGCATAAAATATTATTAAAAACTTCATTTTAATTCGCTGTGTACTCGAATATGATACTGAATCATTTACTTGAGATGATTTATCAACTAGTATTGCACATATTTGTTGAATTTGTTTAAGTGGGGGCTAGAAGATAATTAATTTAGCCTTTGACATCCTGTTTGCTACATGTGTAACAGCAGTGAGTGTAATCGCGTGTAACGTACTCAATTATTCACCATTAACGCGGATTCTGGGATATGGATGAACACATTTGTCTTCTTTTTTGAATACGTAATTTTAGTTTACAATTTTATAATATTTTATTTATACGCGAATGTGAACTGTATTTTTTGTTGAATTAACATGTTCTGCTTTGAGGGCATTGTTAGAAACTGTTGTTTGTAGTTCATATTCACGTATAAATAAAAAATAAAGATGAACATATTTGAAAATTTAAGCAGATCATGTATAACGGGTTGTCTATGGTTGTACCTTGTGCCGAACTCGCTAATTTACAATATTCTTGTATAGTGTTATATTATATTTTTGTGAGTTAATGAATTATAATTTATTTATTTAAATAGTAGATTAATTTTTAAAATATGAATTTAAACAACAGGTCACGTGGTTACTCTGACTATCTATGTGTTGCTGTAGCCGCATTGCGATAAAACGGCGCAGGTTAGTCTGTCATATGATTTCCATGACGTTGGGTGTCATAAACAAAAATTCGGTGCATGAACAGGTTATCTACTTGCTAAATCTCAGGTGTAGACGGTGTTAATTCCACCCATAAAATAAACAAACGAAGCAATTTCAAGCCGTTTTACGCAAGTGATCACTCGAAAATGTTGGATTCTCTGCAGAAATTCGTCAGTTACTGGTACTTCAGGTATCTCCTTATCTCAGAACTCTACATGGTAGAACAATGGGAAAGAATAATGATGTGTATCCTTTTAACAAGTCCATAAAAATAATTGGAATTAGTCTAACATCTAATATGTCGTATCGTAACCTTAAAATAACCATAGATATCGTATTTTTCGTATTTTTCCTGTGTTTGTCATTGTTTAACAACTGGGTGGTGTTATCAGCAGTGGACACAGTGGTGAAGAATCCGCAGGATTGGATTTTACTACCTCCACTTGAACTTATACATAGCATTGTCTAGTCAACATCGGAATTATTTCAACGAAATGTTCAAATCTGTTATGTACAACTTTTATTTTACTTGATTATGTGGTAAATTTTATACAATGTTCTAATCATGGCTTGAAATTGATTCAGCACTTTAAGTTTTAAAGATTGCTTAAATTAATAAATATATACACATATTAGACGAAATCTAAATAACTTATAAATCTTCACCGAGTCGTTCGAACTCGCTGACAAAATGTAACATGTCCGTGTGCGTCAGACCGGAATTCTGAAACACGATGCGGAAGAAGTTTGGCAAGTCCTTCTGTGGCTGATAGGTGACCATCATGGTTCCTTCCTTCATCATACGCTCTTTGATCTTCGGCGCGATTTTATGTATCCTCGCGTGGAATTCCGCTTCGTCTTGGATGCTACGCAAACTGGGTGGGACATACCAGAAGCAAATATTGGTGCATTCAGGCTGTGGTAAAACCATTCTGAATCCAGGTCGTTGTTGGATTGTGCGAGTGAAGAACTCTGCGTTGTCGAAAACCTTCTCAATGTGTTGGCGTAGACCATCAGTGCCTTTTGCTTTCCACATAAACCAGAATTTAAGAACATCAGCGCGTCGGCCACATTGGATGTGTTTATCGCCGGTATCGAAACGTGTATCGTAGAATTTATCTTTTTGGAAGAGATACGAAGCGTTTGATGAATGCGCATCCGAAAGAATGCCTTTATGGCGTAGCAAGAGTGTTGAACATTGCTGAGGAGCAGCGAGTAATTTGTGAGGATTCCAAGTAACCGAATCAGCTCTGAAATTTAAATAAGAAATTTAAATTTTTGTTTTACACCAGATAAGTTACTAAATATCACTTAAAATTTACAGGATGTTCAATCACATCTTATAAAAATGTTTAAAAAATGTTACAAAACTACTTTCATTCGTAACCATTAATTGTTTAACATTCTACCGGATTTTAAACGTCAAGGTTTCATCGAAAAAGTAAGTGTAACATAATGATCGTCTGTTGTCTATAATTATATCTATTGTACTGTTGTGTACAATTATTTTTAATAATACTCTTACCTTTCAATTCCAGCCATGAGGTGTTTGTATTTAGGGACATGAGTGCACCGCCTCCCCATGCAGCATCAACGTGCAACCACATGCCGTATTCCTTGCAAATGTCAGCCATTTTGTCAACTGGATCGAATGCGCCGAGGACTGTTGTTCCGGCTGTAGCGCTCACCATGAATGGTTTACCATTTTCAGACAATGCCCGCTCAACTTCAGAACGTAAATGCTCCATGCACATTTTTCCACGGGTGTCAGTTTTAATCAGGTAAACATTATCAGTGCCAAGACCCAAGAAAGAAGCTAGTTTTTTAATGGAGTAATGGGCATCTTCAGATGTGAATAGTACTAGACGCGGTAAACCATGCAATCCTGTTTTCTAAAGTTAAAAAAATCATGTTAATTATTTCTATAAGTTTGATGTTAAATTGTTTTACTTACTTTAATATCCGGCATGAATTTGTATCTCGCGCAACTGATTGCATAACCATTCGCCATGCTGCCACCAGGACAAAAGATACCATCGCCATCTCCATTCGGGAAGCCTACGATTGCTCGCATCTCTTGCAGGACGACTTCCTCCATCAACGAAAACACCGGCGATACTTCGTATGTGTACACGCTGGGATTCAACGCGTCCGTCAGCCATTGCCCAACTAATCCATAGGGATCCAACGACGAAAACAACTGGTTAACAAAATATGGATGCGCAGTCTTTACTGAGTGTTGTATAGTGCTCTTCATCAGCTTCAACAACTCCTCGTGTGTAGCGCCTGTTTTCTTCAACCCGAAATCAAACATGCGTTGCATGTCTTCCGGATTGGTCCATTCCAAAACCTTTGCGTCTCGGGAAGACGCACCGAAGACAGCATCCTTCAACAGGATCTCCAAAGCGTCTTTAAGGAACTTCTCATGGTGATCCTTTTTGGCGATACTTTCAAACGTGGCTTCTTTTGTTGTTTTCGATGTTAAGTTGGTGGATTTTTTAAGAGATTGATACTTTTTTGTTGATTTATGATAAGCCTCGTCGTCGGAGGAGCATGATGCCGTTGAAGAAGCAGTATCGATTGCTTCATCAGTGGCTTCCTCCTCGTGAAAGGCGGCGTCTTCAAGTTGCGGCATGGTGTTTTCGTTGTGTAGGTGTGCGTCCACTCGCGGCGAGCGTCGAACTGCAAGAACGACGTCGGCGCGCTCGGTTTTATCAGCGTGGAGGACCTCGTCGGGGGAGCGAGGTGCATCACGTGTCGCACGCGGCATTCCCCTTTGACGGTCATCGGCGGGGACTGAAACCACAAGTGATAATCTGGTGAGTTTATTTCATCATCTTGTAATTTAAAGATCTAGATTTAAGCATTTTACTTAATTATGGGAATACCATGTTTAAAAACTGAGGAAAAACCCTTCTTATTACGTATGAGTAATTATTTCTTTAGAATTATACCTTACGGAAAATAAAAAAAGTATTGTGTTTATTTTTAAAGTTCGTTGAAGGAATATTTTTATATTTTTACATTAAAAAAATGTTGTTAAATGCATGCGAGGTGGTATGATGGCTCGATGACTTGGAAATTGGTTCATTACCACGTTAATCGAGTGCACACCGAAGACACACAACGTCGATGGTCGATGCAGCGTTAATTGTCGGTAATTACGCGAGCGTGGAACGTGTCTTTCGATTAGTATGAATAAACTATTAATGTGGTAATGTGTGTTATGGAAAATTGCGTTTTGCTATCAATTACATTAACTTTGAATCCACATTTTACTGACTATGCACTTTAGGCATTATATTAACGTACTTTTGATTAAAGGTAGGGTAAAAGAGGGTCACTTAAGGAAAGACTCAAATACTATCTTTATAGTAAAATTTTAACAATTTTAACATTTTTAACAATTTCCAACGTCATTTTTTGCGATAAAATTTCTTTATTATCAGTGAAAATATTAAAATTATTTATTATTTAGAAGTAGTAGTTTAGAAGTAGTTTTCAAATAATATTTTAAATATTATTAAATAATTATTGTAATTATTACAATGTAATATGTAACGAAAGTCCATTCCGTTTGATTTTATTTTTTTATTTGTTTTTTTTTAACTTTACAAGACAAAAGACAGTAAAAGTTGAGGAAGTCCGCAATTTATTTATTTATTAATACGAATAAAAATATATCGCAAAAAAACATAAACAAATCGTGCTGTTGACTTCTGGACAATCGCCTCGGACATAGGCGACACGGGTGTAAGCGTGACAGTAAGCGGCGGTGTCGATTAAATTCGTCCTTCTATCATCTTACGTCCGTAAAATTAACATTTTTATTTAGTTTGATACGAATTTATACGCATTAATGTCTTCTAATACAACAGAACCGTTGTAAGTTTTTATTTTGTCCAAATCAATCACGCGAAGCAATTAAGGAAAAACATGTTCAGGCATTTTAGCTCACGAATGACGTTCGAAGAGATTCCACCTGAACCTTATCGGTTTTTTTACGTCAATTGTTTTCTATTATTATTGTTGGATTTATTTATTGTTGGATTTTTGTGAGTAAAGCAAATATATAATTAATATTTAATGATTGATCGGGGTTTAATCGAGTTGAACGCTTAAAAGTCACATAATTTGCGCATAATTAATGCGATAATACTGACAATTACCTATAACGTACCGCGCTGTCCGCGCCGATGAGTGGCACAAGGTTGTTACGGTATGATTAGTTTACGATTACTATCGCACTTTTTATGCAACTTTTATTACAATTTCAATTTGTATTGTACTTATACATTAATTGTAATTCTCACGTTCTTCTTTTTTTATTTCTCTCTGCGTACCTTTTACAATTTAATTGAGAGTATTTGTTTTGTTTTGATTAATTTATTCGAACAAATTATAACTTGTGAATGTTGATAGTCACTAATCACACTTTAATCAAGCGTCAATAACACTTCGCGCTTTCGCCCGCAAGAGATTGTATTCGTATACAAACAATCATTTTCATGTTTAATATCTTGTGTTAAGCGATAATTAGTTTTACGAGGGTCAATTTTTTGCGATCAAAATTATAATAAATCACCTTCGCGAATATTAATATTAATATTGGATGTAAATATTCAAATACGAATGATGTAAATGAGTAATTCATGGTCGTGTCATACTTAAAATTTGCGCGTTTGTCAATTGCGTGCGAAATGCAAATTAGCGGCCGAAATTTGCTTTGCGCAGAGGTCTTGAACTGTCCCAAATTCGTGTTATCAACGACTATTTACAAACGAGTGTAACCTTAGGAATAATTTGACGCCTAATTACATTTCAATCGTTTTGCAAATACGTTTAGTGTTAGTAAACTTTGATGGTCTTCAAATTATATGACTGTTGGTTGTTTTATGGTTTTGAAGTATCCTGTAGGTGTACAACTTAGTGGTATTTTATGTTGCGTGTTTATGTTGGTACTTTGGTTTGGTTACACTAGCGCCCTCTGTAACGTGTCAAAGAGAGACGATGACCAGTCGATGTTTCACAATCAATCTCAGCAATCTCGTTTGTCTTGACTGCCATCTTGGCATCTCGATATAGAAATTAAGTGACGAATTAATTGTGCAGTGAGAATAATTGTGTGTGTATGGACTCAGTGATTCACGTATGATAATCGAACTACATTTTCCTTATTGTTATAATTCGCATAAGTCTAACCAAATATCAGCCGTGTGTTTTGGGTTTGAGTTTTTTAGGTGAGTCAGCCATTTTGAACAATTTCTTCGTCATTTCTGCCTGCGTAAAATCTTTTTTTACCAACATTGCGGATTATGTCTTTTGTATAAGTGTGTTGTTGCGTTGTTTTTATATTTACTTACCAATTCTTTCTGCGGTTCTATACTAATTAGGTATTGAATGGTATTGAATAATGGAGGATAATTCACAAAAGGGTCCATCAGTGACGGCTATGGCTACGCCACCGCCCAATCTGATGCAACAGACGAATCAGCTTCAGCAACAGCAATCTTGGATATACAATTATCATCCCCAGATGTATTACAATAACATGTACTATGATCAGCAGCAGCAGTATTATGCCATGATGGGCTACTCAGCTGCAGCAGCTAGTACATATAATTCACCCTATGCCAAAGCTCCTCCTCCAACACCACATACCAACGCAAATGCGACTGTCGCGCAGAAAGCAGAAGACAAAACCGTGAGCGCCCTTAATCCTCCACTTCCTCCAGGTCCGCCACCCCCGACGGTGACAGCCTCACCGTCTATATTACAGGCACCTGGCACTTACTACCATCAAGCAAATCAACAGAACCAGCCGGCAAATCCGACTAAGTTTGGTGGAATTCGATTCACTTTACAACCGCGGCAAGCTAATAACATGACACAACAGAATAATTCTCTCACCAGCGGCGCTGCGAAGAAAAAACGTAAGCGCCAACAAAATAAACAACAACAGCAGCAGCAGATGGCATCATTTTATAATCCTCCATTACCACCTCCGGAACAGAAACCGGCTCCACCGCCGGAGAGCATGCCGCCACTTCCTCCTCTACCGCCGGATACGTCGAAACCGCCGCCACCATTGCCGCCATCGATAGTTGCGCAACCCAAACCGCCGCAACCGCAACCAATACCGCCTCCCAAGCTTCCGAATCCTTATGATAATCCTACACAGCATTGGCCCGACGATCTCACCGACTACGTACACCGCGCGTACAAACGTTGTAAGACAAAATTGGACCGAGATCAGGTAGAAATTGTGCTGAAAGGCAAGATAACTTCGGCGACCAGTTCTGGAGATCTGTACGTCCGCGACTGGAAACGCGAGCCGTTGCCGAGCATTCAGAGCGAGAGGAGTCAGCTTGTACCGAAGCTCGTCACTGGCCACTTGGCACAGTTTCAGAATACTTCGCCTCTGCCAAAGAGTCCTACGAAGAAGGCCGGGTTGTCGGCGGCGATGGGAGCGCGTTTGGGTGCCAGGGCATCCACTCTGCGTGGGAGGTCTACATCTTATTCCAGGTCGAGGAGTCGATCTAGGTCGCGTTCGCCAAGTAGTCGTAAAAAATCGCGGAGTCCACGCAAACACAGATCATCCAGGTACGCAATAAAAAATTCAAACTCTGGAAATAGATTAATTGATTGTTTGTTTTGTTACAGTTCCTCTTCCAGCAGTAAAGATAGTTATGTTCCTCTGTCGAAAACAAAGAAAGGTGCCAAGGGCAAGTTATCTGATAGGTTAGGCAACAACAATAATAATCGTAAGCAGCCAAATACGCTCGGCGGCAGTATTGGCAAACAGACAAAGAAACAAAAGCAGAAGGAGAAGAAAGCGGCGGCCGCACATTTTTACTCCGAGTTCGGCGCTGCTGACGTCGAGGAGAACTCACAGCTGTTGCAGCAGCGCGCGGCGCGTTTCCATCAGACAGGCGCTTCGAAATCATCTGCGTCGAGCGGCGGCGACGCCTCCGCGCAGGCTTCGCTCAAGCGGCGCAAACTTTTTAACATGAATCTTGAGAAATTTAGCGAAGATAGCGGCGGCGACTTTGACTGGACCGAATTTCATATCGTCGGCGTGTGCCGCGATGTTGAGAAATCCTTCTATCGGCTCACAAAGGCCCCCGAGCCCGGTGAAGTTCGGCCAGTCGAGGTCCTCAAGCTATCCTTACAGAACGTCAAACGGAAGTGGAAAGAGAAGCCAGACTACTACTACGCATGTGATCAACTCAAATCTATCAGACAGGATCTTACCGTAAGAAATTAACCGTAATTTTTAAACATTATAATAAATGCGCCTTGTTTTAATTTTTAAAGGTGCAAGGAGTTAGGAATGAATTCACAGTGGAGGTCTACGAAACGCATGCGCGTATTGCCTTGGAGAAGGGTGATCACGAAGAGTTCAACCAGTGCCAGACACAGCTGAAAGCTCTTTATGGAGATCTCGGAGGGAAAAATCGCAATGAATTCGTCGCATATCGGATATTGTATTATATCTTTACTAAAAATACTCTAGGTAAACAACTCTTTCTCTATTTTCGAGCAAAGATAAATAATTTTTCTTGGTTGATTATAGATATAATGACCGTAATGAAAGCTTTAACGGACGCAGACAAGTCAGATGATTGCATCGCGTTTGCGTTACGGCTTCGCTCCGCTTGGGGCTGCGGCAATTTCCACAGGTTCTTCCGCATGTACATGAAGGCGCCAAAGATGGCAGGCTTTCTGGTCGATTGGTTTATCGACCGCGAGCGTAAAGAATGTTTAAGGTGTATGATCAAAAGGTAGGTGCCAAACATATCATGATTCATTTCGCGCAATCACATGCGATAACATGAAGCAGTTTCATTTAATTTATTAACATCTCATTTTTAATTTATTTATTTTCTTTACATGGTAGATAACAATGTGATATTCAATTTTTGTGCAATAATATTGCACGTTTATAAATACTAATGAATGCTTCGATTGTTGTTTGTTTTGTATTAATACATACTTGATTAATATTAGACAAATGACAATCGTGGTTTAGGCATTCGGAAGTATCTATTGTGTTTGTATTAATGTGATTTTACCTGTTTAGCTACCGTCAAAACATTTCGGTGAACTTTGTGTCCGGCGAGTTGGCATTCAAATCCCTGGACGATTGTTATGCGTTTCTCGAACCTTTCGGTATTACCTACGCGGATGGCTCGCGCGAGAGCATAGACTGCAAGAGCAGCACGTCTGCCTTGGCAAACATTTGAATCTCGCCCTCCTCATACACTTGCGACGTTTACAACAAACAAATTGAGCGCGACGATGTCAATTTGTCAATTTTCGTTTTAGAAAATATCAAACACACCAACTAAAAACGTAGACAACATCCCATCATTTATAAATCCACATTACAAACCAAAGTAATCATCAAATGATATTTGAAAATTTGCTAAGACGAATATAGAATGAAATGAATGTCCTTTTGGGGCGAACACGCTGAACGGGCACAAAGCATTTAACCTACTCAACGTTAAATAAGCAAACCATTTTTTAAGAGGTACAAGAAAACTTATTCTGTCTACCTGCTATGATATCGTCGGGAGAGACCTGTTGAATAAGCGTAAATAATCTATTTATTAAGGAGTATCGGCGCAGATGGGAGGAGTAAACCCGATCTGCAGCTCTTTTTGTGTACATATGTATATTTAAAGCAACTTTCAATAAACTATTCACGTTCGACATGATGCTGAAAATTAATCGATAATAATCATAAATATTGATAAGAATCCAAAAGTATCCTGATTGTCCTAAAATATAAAGTACTGGGTGAGTGTTTCTTGATAGGATTGCAATTATTATGTTTGTAGTCGACTTTGTAATGTTCTTCCAGATTTTGAGCTTGAAAAAATTGTGGCTTTGATAGAAATTTTTTTTAAGTTCAATTTCTTGAAGAACTTTACCGAACGACATTTTAACTTTATCTTTTTAGCGATATTTGATTTGATCATATCTTCTTGACTTAATATTTTTGTACAAATGCACTGCGTTTGTGTAATGATTCAGAGTAATCGATTCTGACTGTTAATATTTCTGAGGAAATTGAAGTGAGTGTGTGGTTACGATGATAACATTGTTGATTCAATCCTTGTTAATTAATTCTATTGTGTACGATAAACAAGTCGAGTTGCGACCGGGCCGAGCAAGTTAAAGTCTCCGCACATGTGGAGAGCTCCCGCAGTCGAACCCAAGTCAAGTCATAATTAATGGACTTGTGAACGGTTGCGTCGAGTGTCGTGCGAGCGTCTTCTCATGCCAGCTGTGCGTGCGTGCGGCTTGGGATGCGGCCGCCGCGGTTAGATAAACATTCGCCGTTGCGAACGCACGCGATAAGATAAACGACGACGTGCGTTGGGCGGAGGCTCACGGCGATATCAGAGCGCGGTGGAAACGTGCGCGAAATGGCCGATGTTGACGATTACGAACATTACGACCACCGGCCTCGTATCGTTGCAGTAATACCCAAGAAGATGCACATCGAGCGAATGGATTCGACAGACTCGGTGGATCGAGCAGAGCAGAATCAACCAAAGACGCCGCCGACGCCACCAACAAGAAGCGTGGATAACGCGAAATACGGTCGCCTGGCGACTGTATCCGAGGAGACAACAACGATGAAAACAAAAGACGACGACTTCGTTAATAACAACAGGTCGCGCTGGTCGGGCAGCCCAAATCCGACTGAACGAGTTGCTGCTGCAGTTGCTGAAGTTGAATCTATTACGACCGGCGGTCAGCGCGTCGGCGTCGGCAGTGCGAATGCGGCACAGCAGCACCACCAACGCGAAAATAACTTCAATTCGCTGCACCAGCAAAAACGTGTTCAACCCGTTGAGTATCATGACGTCAGGCATGTCGAGCGCGTGGAAGCAGGATGGACCAATGCCGGACACATGGAGCAAGACAAACATGACGGACGGGTCGCTCAGGTGCGCGTCAGCATTCAACCCATTCAGCCAATCAGCACAGACGCAGACGGAAATACGCGTTTGAGTACGATAGAAGAAAATAACCGACTGGCGCAGTTACGCAAAGAATACGAGTTCGACAAGGACAGAACTGATCATCACAGTCTTGCGGGTTTGCTTAAAGGTAAATAAATTATCTCATTTCTAACAAACGCATAACAACTGCACAATCATGTGCCGTTTTGTTTAATACTTACAAAGTTACACATATAACATTCTCTAGTTTTCATTAAACTAAACACGCGTCGCTTGTTTTATAAATTTAGACTTGGGAGCAGCTAAAAGAAACATGGCTACGCTAAGTCCTAAGTCGCCCAAACCAGCCGTGTCAAAAACGGACAAGGAGGAATCCATCTGGGATAAGATTGGTACACTTGGCAGGAAGAAGCGCATTAAGGAAGGTAAATACTGATAATTTCAGGCGACCTTTTCTCTATTTGTGTTAAAAAGTCGAGATGAGTTAGCCTTTTATGGTTATGTTTGTTTTAATAAGTGGGCGAGACAACATCGTTAAACAAATGTTACACTTTTAACGCGACTATCAGTTCAAGTGGTTTACTTTGCAATTTTTTCAGTGCAAGAAGTACAGGAGGAGGGTAAACATGCCATCGATTCACCTGGACTGCCACATTTTCCGACTACGTCTCCAGAGGATTATGATTTAGGTAAACAAAAATATATCAATTTATTTCTTTAAAAAACCAAACTAAAATTATAATAAATAGAGGAAAACGAAGAACGCTGCATGATAGACCATGGCGTTTACACAAATCCACTCTTCATTAAACTGGTCAATGTCCTCATCAATTGGATCAATGATGAGTTGGCCTCTCAAAGAATCATTGTGCAAGATCTTGCTGAAGACTTGTATGATGGTCAAGTATTGCAGAAATTGCTGGAGAAGCTCACCGGCGATAAATTGGACGTGCGTGAGGTAACGCAGTCTGAAGAGGGGCAGAAGCAGAAATTGCACGCGGTTCTCAGTCACTTCAACCATGTGCTCGGTTTGTCGCGCACTGGCTCCAAGAAGTGGAATGTCGAAGCGATTCATTCGAAAAACATTGTCTCGATTATGCATCTTTTGGTGGCACTTGCACGTCATTTCCGCCCGCCTGTCCGTCTTACTGAGCATGTAAGCGTTCCTGTGGTTATTGTGAAGAAGCTCGGTGGACATTTGGATCATCGTACAGTCACAGAGGTGATTACTACATCGTATGATGATGTTGGGCTGAGATGGGAACGCGATGCGATTGATACGCTGTTTGATCATGCGCCGGAAAAGCTTCAGATGGTTAAAAAGGTAAGTTAATAAAAGTCTGTTATAAAATATTTAATTTATATAAAAAACATTGAAAATATTTCAGAGCCTTGTTACTTTTGTAAATAAACATCTCACCAAGATAAATCTCGAGGTGACCGAGATTGAAACGCAATTCCACGACGGTGTGTACTTGACGTTCTTGATGGGCCTGCTTGAAGGCTTCTTCGTACCGCTGCACTCGTTCCATTCGACGCCGAAAGACTTTGAGCAGAAAGTTCACAACGTTTGCTTCGCCTTCGAGCTGATGGAGGAAGTAGGTATCACCAAACTTAAAGCGCGACCCGAAGGTAAGAAATTTTTAATGTTTTTATATAAAAAAAAAAATCAATGTTTCCAAATATTTGCAGATATTGTTAACCAAGATCTTAAATCGACGCTACGCGTACTTTACACGTTGTTTAACCGGTACAAACACTTGTAAATGATGTTTTTAACCAAAACTTTACAAGGTAGGATAGATTTTATTTGAATCTATCGTGGAACTGCCATTTGTCTTCGTATTTTGTAACATCGCGTGTACAATACTGACGCCATGAGTCTTCTAGAGTGTGCCTTAATTGTCGTTAACAGAGCCTTAACATAATTTATTAACTTCAAAGTTTAGAATTTTAAAACAAAGTATATACAAAGAATTATATTTATTATAATATAATAATTTTATTAACTAAGTAATAAAGAAGTATTAACATAAGTTGATTATGTTATCAATCATCATCTTCCATTTGAATTTCATTTTGAAGTTTTTGAATTGTATCTTTGCTGGCTGTTGCTAGAAACTTCTCATATTGTTCAGGAATGCACTGGAATCTTCTTACTTTACCCCTAAGTTGTTTCCATGTCTCTTGGTTGTAGTTTTTCTTGTCCTTGGCCATTGCTTTGAAGTCTAAGCCATGTTTAGTCAGCATGTAAGTGATGAAGTCTACTTGTCCTTTTGGGAGTCTGAACATCTTTGCTCTGGGTGCATTTGCATCATCTATGAGTGCCTCCAAGACATGTTTCTTTGACTCAATTGGTGTCTTTGTTGCTGACTGGGAAAGATCTTCCACATCCCACTCATCATGATCACTATCTGCTGATTCATCCTTAGATGTAGCTAGAGCTTTAGCTTTGGCAAGTTTTTCTTTCCTTGTTACTGTGATTTTAAATGTATCATTGGGGTCATAGCATATTCCCATTTCCTTGAGGTTTGTTTGAAGTGATTTCTTTGAGTCCCATGCTGATTTAATTTCCTTGCTGCATACATACAACAATCACATAATAAACTTTTGTGTAATTTATAAATACAAATGTTACTTGTAAACAATCTACTCACCAGTTAATGTTTCCTTCACTGAATTGTTTATTTCGCAGACGTTTACGATTCCTGTTGTGATTGTATACTTTTCTTCGACGTTGCTTTCTTAACTTCGGCATTTTCAATCAAAGAGCACACACGTGTGGTAATGTGAAGATTCAAAATATAACCTAGACATCAAGTCTCAATCGCTCCAAAGTGAAAGTCCCTAAATATCCCCAGATGAAAGAAAAAGCTGTTTGGGTTATTAAATAAGCGGCCATTGTTTGCGTAGCACGTGAGCAGTGTACGCTTCATACGTTTTGTGTCCACCAATAACGAAATGTAAGTGCAAACCTGATATCACATCGCCCAATTTCCAATAAACACATCAATAAAAGTGATATAAATAGAGTTAGCCATATGCATTCCACTTATCCATCCAAATGACTGATGGTGTTGCTGAGCAGCTGAAGCGGTTCGTATTTACTTCGAAAGTAAATATTAAGGGTGAAACTAAGGAGGAGAAATTGGAAGTTGTTATTCCTGAGGTACTGCTATTAAAATTCTCTGAAAAATACTTTGCATTTATGGCAACTTCTTCACTTTCCTGTAGTTTCTTACCTAACCTATGACTATTATACTTGAGAATATAGAACTGTATTACTTCTACATTTTTAAAATTTATTTATATTAGATATTGTTATATAAGGTACTAGCAAACTAAACAAACTCAGATAGCCTCAAATGTATGGTTAGTTAGTTTTCAGTGGAGGGTACATAATTGATCTTTACTATATTATATGGATTGTACTTGGTGCATATTTTTAAATATTGTATTTTTACAGTTACTGCAAGCAAGCTACTCATTTTATACCTGGCCATCAGCACCAGTGTTGGCTTGGTTCCTGTGGGAAAACCGCGCTGCAATAATCAATAAAAACATCCTTGAAATTGGATCTGGAACAGCCCTTCCTGGCATTCTAGCAGCCAAGTGTGGAGCGAACGTCACTCTCAGTGATTCCGTTACGCTCCCAAAGTCGCTTGCGCACATTCAACGCAGTTGCGTTCTTAACAATCTGAAACTCGACGAGAACATTCGGCTGATTGGTCTAACTTGGGGCTTATTTCTGAATAATTTTGAGAGTTTAGGGCCCATTGACTATATTCTTGGCTCGGACTGCTTCTACGATCCGACCATTTTTGAAGATATTCTCGTGAGCGTCGCTTATGTTCTGGATTTAAATCCCGGAGCAAAATTCCTCTGCACATATCAGGAGCGCAGTTCAGACTGGACGATTGAGCCTTTGTTAGACAAGTGGCAACTCAAGTGTCAAGTGCATTCGATTGCGGATCTAGGCGCAAACGCTGGATTTGACATTCACAAATTAATTGGTGATCATTGCATTCAGCTGATTGAAATTTGCCGCTGAGCAAGTTCTACTAAATTTATAAGTTAATTATGGCTTCCAATGCAGCAAGGCAAGCTCTGAAATTATACGTCGGTAATCTGCCTTGGACCATTGGCACACAGGAATTGAAACACTACTTCAGCAAGTTCGGGCACATTAATTCGGCGTCAGTTGTCTTCGATAAGAATACAGGGCTATCAAAGAACTACGGTTTTGTTGTCTACAGTAACAAGGAGGGTTTTGAAAGTGCCACTAACTCCACAAATCATTTTCTTGAAGGAAACAATTTAAAAGTTGAAGCCGCCAATTAAATCCGCGGATATCATCAATAATTAACACCCAAATATTGTAGACAAGTAGTAAACACGCTATAAAAGTAGTAATTAATAGGTAGATATATCATAATCATGGATAACTTTCAAGACTTTGAAGAGCTGGGAATTAATGATAATGAAGAACCGTCTGATTTTCAAACGGCGGCCAACCATGTACAGAAACTAGCATCAAAATTGGAGAATGCCGATCTTTTGCAACTTTATGGATTTTATAAGCAAGGCCTTGAAGGTATGAATATTAATTTAAAAAAATAGGCGAGTAAATATTATTTTTTAAATGAAATGATTTGTTATTTAGGAAATTGCAATGTTCCCAAACCAAGTTGGTACGATTTTCGAGCAAAGTCCAAATGGGAGGCATGGAACGCTTTACAGGATATGCCACAATCTGTAGCGAAGGAGAAATACATAGAACTCGTGTCGAAGTTAGACACTTCATTCGCCAAAGATGGTGTCGGACAGCAAAGCACCACCAAAGAAAGTTGGGTCACTGTCTCTACGCTACAGAAACCCGAGGAAAGCGATGAAGACCAGGATGCCGATGAACTCATTGCATCTGTCAAGGCTGGTGATCATGTTGCAGTGGACCACTTCTTGTGCGATTCTAAGGAGAAATACAGCAAGGATTTCGACTGGAATCGACTTGACAAGGATGGTATGGCCCTTATTCACTGGGCCACTGATCGAGGCTGTACAAAGATTATCAAAAGTCTTGTGGAAAACGGCGCGGATATTCAGGCAAAGGACGCTGAGGGACAAACCGCCATTCACTATGCGTCTAGTTGTGGCCACTTGGAGTGTGTGGAGTTGCTTTTAGAATTGGGAGCAGATGCTACTATTAAGGACAACGACGGAGCGGATGCGTACGATGCTGCTGCCGATGATGCCGTGAAGGAGTTCCTGAAGAAATGCAGTCTTAATATTGGATAGTACAGGTATGAGGGTTTTGCAGGAGCTGTTATGGCGTGGAAACGTAGTAGTGTAAATTAGCCATTTTGTAAATGTTTTCTTTACAAATAAAAATTATTAAATTTATAAGTATTTCGTAGGTATCGGAAAAACTAGATATTTTCATGATTGTTTTTATTCAGATAAACGGGAACTCTTCGGGGTATTTGCACATTTTCTTAAGATTCTCATTGCACAACAATTTTTCTCAACGATATCATATTACCGCTTTGGTTTCTACGTTAAAAATATTGTGCCCACGACATGCTTAAGTATCTGTACATATAAAGGAATACATACAAAACTTTATAGTTAAATCTTTAGTTATTAAATCTGTCCTTTTAAAATAGAAATTGTATATCACAATGTTTTGATTTTAACTTCACACGGTTATCGGTGTTTCGTGTACAGATATAAACAACTTTTTTATCGCTTGTAACCAGTTTCATGCTGCGTTCGTGCTACGAAGGTTCGAACGTTTCAGTGTGATTTTATTTGCACGAGGCTTGCTACCTTTCTTTCATTCATTTCGATTAAATTAATTCCATTACAATTTGTCGATTAATAACCGCAGTTACAGATGTCTACAGTATTTTGCAAACGATGAGTTGCGCGTGAAATTATTTTAAAACTCATGTTTATCTGTGAATTAGTGGTTCGACGGCTATTGGATTATTTCGATGCAGGGAATTGTATCCTATGAATAATTTCGAGTAAGTGTAATTAACGCCTGTCCACAACAGGTTTTCATTCACCGAATATTGCCGGTGAAAATAGCGCTTGTCATCTAAGTTTGTTGTCCGACGGAACAGACTTAATAAAATAAGAGTGCAGCATAATGCTAGTCCTAACACGTGTTTTTTCTGTTACAGTACTTTCTTTGTTTACCCGATGCACTAGTAAGTTTCTAAACATTATTGCATAATGATTATATTTTCGTCTTAAGTCTTAAATCGTAATGACTCAAAATTGACGCGGGCCGTCGGATGCATTTTTGGTCGCGCTGCGGATTGTGGTTTTTTTTCTTGACGATCGTCGGTTTAATTCACGTATTTCTCTTTGATGTCATTTTCTTTTAATTTTATAATAATGCAGTCGCGTTGATTCTAGTAATTTGAGAATCAATTATTGAATGTAATATATTTGTAAAATACGATTTGAATTTACTTCAACGCTTGTGCATGAGATGCCGTCCGCCGGTACATTTTGCCTTGTTTGTAACGTATCTGGAGAACGCGTCGTAAAGAAAATTTCCATACCAAAATAAAATTATAAGTGTTTTATTTCACTCTACCTAAGGTTTGTATTTTAATTTTTTGGTATTTATATTTTTATTTTAAGATATTTATGTTAAGATGTTCTAGTGATATTACATGTATCACCGTATATATTTTTCATTGCCCTCCAATGAAAAACTGACTATATTTATCGTTTACGGGAGTGTTCGTTCTTGAACATTGGATTTTAATTATAAATGTGTTAATGTCTGTATATACACCCTGTATATTCCTTGTAAATTTGATTTGGTGTGAATATTGACTATATTTGTAGTTTTAAAATTTTCTTCTTACAACACCTTGTATATTTTTACCCACGTAGAATATTGTCTTTATTTGTGAGTTTTGGGTGTTCTCTGTTTTGAACTTGGGATTTTCTTTTCGGGACACCCTGTATATTCGTTTTCCTTTATACTTTGAATTTTCTTTTTGCAACACCTTGTATATTAGTTTTCCCAGAGCATCGGGTAAAAACGAGCAATATTTGTAGTGTTTGGATGTTTTCCTTTTGAACGTTGCATTTTCATTTTGTAACACTCGATATATTTGCTTTCATTTTCAACAACGTAGAAAATGAACTATTTGCTAATTTCCTTATTCCGGTAGAACTTGACGAAGTGGTACTTGCTTATATGTGCGCGGTTTAGCAGGTCGTAAGTCCTGTTTCAATATGGCGACATTGTTGTTGACTTGTAAAGTTTAAACTTGCATTCTATTGTTAATAAAGAAATAGTAAGATATATTGACTTCTTTGATTTGTATGTACAGCTTCTATCATTTCAGCGAGAGGTCCCTCTCTCAGGGGACTATCCCCTCTATAAAAATTGTTAAAGTCACCTGTATGATTTGTGCACTCCTTCTTTCATTTCAGCTACAGGTCAGAACTTGTAAGAATATTTTAAAGTGTTACCTCTCCTGAGACGACTTAAAACTTATAAATATTTGAACAAGACCTTATAAGGATTGTCCTTATAAGGAGTTCCCTCTCTCTGGGGGTGATCCCCCACCATAAAAATTGTTGATATGCCTGATAATTTCGGGGATGAAGCGCAGAGACATCGCAGCTGTAGGATGGGCCGGGAGCAATGGACGGATCGACGCAGTGGACTGTCTAACGACACGCGTCAAAAAATTTAAAAATTTGATCCTCCCCTGTTCTCTTTCTTCTATCTTCTCCTCTTCTCTACTCTACTCCCTGTTCTCTCTTCTTTCTATCTTCTCTACTACTCCTTCTTCTATTTCTGTGTTCTCCGCTTCTCGAGTTGCTCATATTGCCTTCACTTGTATTTCAATTTCTCTTACATTTCGTTGCAATTCATATATGCAACCCAAATTTCTCCTGATATTTTTATATTTGAGAAAAATGCCTTCTACACCTGAGACTCGATCCGTGTCTACTAGCATGCCAGCAGGTGCACGCCTCCACTCGACCACCGAGTGTTTTTATTGTTGCTATTTGATTCTTATATTTATGTTTCTATTTTATTCAACTTTTAAAAACAACAACACAATTCAAGCAACAGTTAGTTATGTTATACCCGCTGCACACACATAAAACTTATATGCCATATTATTTAAAACTGAAAACGACAAAGAGGATACCACAAAGTAATATGAATGAGAATATTATTATTTATTTTATTGACAACATTTACAAATTCATACATACATTTATAAGAAAAACATTGGCGACTATCAAATCCTATGGAGGACTTGCCTTAAAACATGACGCAACTGTTAACCTTCTGCAATGAATATAACAAACTGCAAGGCCCTTCAATTCGGAAACATTTTCACCGTGCAGATACGTTGCCTATTTATTCGAATGAAATACAAATCCGTGATATTCTTCTTTTTACACTCGAAAACTAATCACAGACGGCCGATGGAAATGCGCACGTTATCTTGCAAAAATCGAATAAATCCGGCCATTGTATATTGAATATAGACTGCACGCAGTCACGGGGTTTTGCCATTGCGATGCACCCAAAATCAAATTTTATCGGCCGACGGAATACACACGCATACATGGTGAGGTCTCTTAATTCTGAAGTCCACTCTCCCCTCACGATAAATCATTTAGTCAGTAGTTGAGGGCAATCGATGACTAAATGATTCTAATGCTTGTACCGAGTTAAAATCTTCAGAAATGCAAATAGTCGCGATGAAGATAAAGAAACACGCGCACACCGCACAACAGTGCACGACGGACTAAACGGGAGAATGCAACAGCCGTCACGAATGGTGATAAGACTGCGAACAGTCTATATCTGGGAAAATTATTCCGAACTTATTGTGACACCGCGTTCACGTGTTATATCAAAAAAACTACAATTCCTAGTACAACGAGTACTAGTGCGTATAAACACAACTTTCAATATAACTTGCGTTACGGAATTTTCTTGCAATAAATTTAGATACAGGGCAATACAGAATTTAACTCTGCTTCTAGGAAAATTAGTCCGAACTTATTATAACACCGCGTTCGCGTGCTATATTAAAAAAACTACAATTCCTAGCGCAACGAGTACTAGTGCGTATACACACAACTTTGAATATAACTCGCGTTGCGAAATTTTCTTGCAATAAATTGCAATACAGGGCGATACAGAATTTAATTCTGCCTCCGGGAAAATTATTCCGAACTTATTGTGACACCGCGTTCGCGGTTATATCAAAAAAACTACAATTTCAATACAGGGAGATTCAATACTGAGCCGTCGAGAGCGAGCGCTGGCCTCGGTAATCGTTAATTTTTTGCTTTTTTTTTGTATTTGCAATTTAAAAGCGATCAACCGGGCGCCGAGGAATTTATCCCAGTTGACCCCCCTCTCAACAGCAAATGTAAATTTGACCAAAAAATATAATTGCATTATAAACTTACCAGTGTACAGCTTATCGGACTGCCAGGCACAACGAATGCTGTAACTTAACAAAAACATTAATTAAAATAAATATATTTCATTCATTTGAATTATGTTATAATTAACAATCAACCCAAAATAAACAATTTGTGCTGTTAAAATACTTACACGAGCCTGATGGATCTTTCTTAATGGGGGCGATATATATCCGATTAATTTAGTAACCTACACTAAACACAACGCCGAGTGAAGAATGTTATCAAATCCTCTGTCACGTGACTTGTAATATACGTAACAAACGCGATCAAAAAACCGACATTTCCTAACATTAAACAAATTATTCGCAAAGTACAAATAAATAGTCGATTGATCTTCGAGTATAACACAAATTTTGAATATTGAAGTCCGAATAAACGATATAAGTCTCTCAAAACACGACTGAATTAACGAGCGACCGGCACGAAACTGGCTGCAATCCACCGATAGTGCATGCCGAAACTGCGTAAACAACGACGGGACAGTATATGATAAGAAAGCAAGAGGTGCGCAAAGACGGCGCGTCGAAGGCACGCGACCTTGTGTGCGAATTTGCAATAGTCACATTACCTGTGATCTAAACTAAACTAGACTTCGCTGCATGTAGCAAGTTGATGCGGCGCTAGGAGACAGTGCGCGGGACACATGCGTTGAATATGTTGTTTACACCGAATCGCAGGAAAACAGCATTTTATACAAAACTATTCTCCTTCCCACGTTTGTCGATAAATATAATAATAAGCCGTATAACTCGATTTTATTATTTTTAGTGCATCTTAGTGATGAGATTTAGACTATTATAATCAATGATTAATGTTTTCACGTGTTGCCACTTTTGTATGCAATACATATTGTCAATTAACATGTAGAGCGTCTCTTAAATTATAACATGGCCTTTAGAAACACATAAAATGTGTATTAGTTCACGAGAAACGCGATAAAAAACAATCATATTTACAACAATTATTTGAATGTTTCATATCTTAGTACAGTCATCTGGTGCTAAAAAATGTGGTTGCCTGGAAAATCGTCGGGGAGTTTTGAAAATTGGTAATCCTATAAATTTCGATGTGCTCTTTACGATTTTATTCATTTAAAATTGTATATAAGCCTTACAACACGGTCGTAGTCTTATCGTCAACTTATAACACATACTTTTTGCCTAGAACCAAATGCAAAGAAAGCAACACCCAGAAATGATGAAAAAGAAGACGTCCAGAGTCGAGGAAAGTAAACGCTTCAACATGCTGTTCAATTCTATTGAGCTTTTCCACAAGATATAATATTGATACAACATGTATAAACAACTTTACAAAAAGTTTCGAGTTTTTCGTCTTGCGTGGCTATCTTTTGTGTGTTTTGCGTGCGTTCTCCAAACTTACTCACGTTCGTATCAAGTAAATCGTATGAGTTATCTTTTACGTACTATACTTGTATGTGGGTATATAAGTAATACATTCGCTCGTCACTCGTCCACGTCATATTATTATTTTTCGTATAATATATAATAAAATCTTAAAAATTATGAAATGTTTTTAAAAAAATACAAAAAATCTACAAAGAGACATTGGTTATAAGCTATATTTATATATATATTTATATACTCCTTACGTCAAACTGGTTTTTGTTGCATTTTTTAATTTTCTTTTATCTTTGCTATGTAATGATGCTCGTGTTTGGTGAGTGTGTGAATGTGTGGGTGAGTTGGTGTAATTTCAATGTCGAATGTACGTAATAACATGAAGAGAAATGAGCGCTACTGGGTTTCGGTTAATGTTAATAATATCTTTCCTTCGTACATATGAGAGATAGAGACTGCACTAACATGAACGAACCGGGAGGGCCAGACACTTATGGCACTTGCTTTGTTTTTTTTCCTGCTGCTTTCTTCGCGCTGCGTCCTGCGGTGCTTGGTACGATTGTTGGATTGTGAGGGATGTTTTTGTTCGTTGGTCCCGAGTGACCACATATCGAGTGCTATATCTGTCTGTCTCGTCTCGCACATAATAAAAATTAATAAACTCGCTTTGCATTTTAAAAATAATAAAATCAAATATAAAATAATCAAGAGCATACCTATCTATATCTTCATATTATTTTTATACAAAACAAAGAATTTCTTAACTAGCATTTTCTCTCATTTTACTATAATCAATAAAAATCGTCCACTATAATATTATCATTCTTGCTGTTCGCTTCCGTTTCGGCTCCGTTTACTTTTCAAATATATATATATATAAAAAAAACTACACAAGTTCTCGTAATCAATTGTCGTCGATGCTTGAGTCCGAAATCCAAAAAGTTGAATTTCTTGATTTTTTTAGAGCTTGTTTGAACGTCATCTTTATAAAATTGTGATTAAATATATGCATTGTATATATTACGTTTAAATGTATCAGTATTTGGAAAGTAAATCTTAAAACTATATGTTTTTGCACATGGATAGCATCATCGTCGAGAATTGTCGGAAAAATAAAAACTGGGGAATGAGTTCAGTTCGCAATGAGAGAGCTTTGTTTCTTTTTTCTAAAAGAAAAACGCCAATGAGCACAGGTGGATAGGGATGTGGGAGTTGGGAGATGGTCAGTTAAGGGATGAGTTGACTTGCGGGCAGTGGGTCAACGCTTGTTCAATCAGCGCCGCAATCGCCTCATTTAGCCTCCTTCTCTTTGTTCTCCTCTGTATCTTTATCTTTTTCCTTCTCCTTTTCTTTCTCATCGGCTTTCTCCTTTTCGATATCCTTATCTTCAGGTTCCTTCTCCTTGTCACCTTCCTTCTCGTCGTTGGTGCCCTCCTTATCCTTGCCTTCCTCGGGGGCAGGCTTGGGCAGGTGCGAGTTGAGGTCCAATGTGGCGCAGATATCATCCCAGTCGGGGAAGCAGCGCTCCTTCATACGGTTGACGTGTCCCACGAGGTTGGCACAGTGCTCTGTCATGTAATCACGCAACGCGTAACTGATCTCCTTGTCAATGAAGTAGATCTGAGCCAGGTTGGCAAAAGCGACCACGTCCAACTAAAAGAACATCGAGAATGTACACAACAATCAAATTTTGTTTAGAATTTGAGAACTTACGGTGGTGGGATCATCACCAAAGAAGAATGGTTTGTCTGCCAACATCTCGGAGAGAACCTTCAAGTCGGACTGGCCAAACTCGTTGATCTCGTCAGCGGAGTGAACACCCATGCCCTGTGCCTTCACTTTCTTGGCTCCCTGGAACCACTAAAGCGTCAATCAACTAATTAAAAAACCCTTACACAAAACAAACAACACTGAAATCAAATTAAAATTCATGCTCAACCAAAACCGGTTCAATAGTGTCCCCCTAGTTAATAAAATGTACCTATCTAGCTGTTACGAGTGCTCAACATTTTAACAACGGGTGCTAAAAATACATGTTTAATCACTTTTAGTTGGCATGCACTATAAGTTTCAAAACTTACCTTGCGGCCAAACGCAAATTTGAAGAAGAAGTTCAAGATGCCGTTCGGTATCCGTGTGCCGAGTGCGTGCTGCAGGTTCACTTTGTAACCCTTGAGCACCTGGTCGGGGAACTTGGTACGCCACCACATAATCACCCAGACAAGGTGATTCTCAATCATGGAGATCATTGCGTGTGCGACGTTGCGTTGCTCGGCGGTGAGGGCAGCGTCCAAATCATGCCCGAAACGTTGCGCCAGCTCTTTGATGATGATAGCGCTATCGGCAACTTCTTCGCCGTTTAGTTCGACAAAAGGCAACTGTCCTTTCTTTGAGCGGAACTTCATTTTGTGATCAACATTCTGAAAATAAGAAGAAAAAAGTTAGAAAAATAAATAAGACCAATCGTTTGATAGTGTAGATTATATTTATGCTAACATTAAAGATATAAAATCTTATTTGATAGCAGTTATAAAGACATTTAAACGTTTTTTATGTGTTATGTCCCATTTGAGATGTCACTAAGTGAACTATCCCATTTCATCAAGTCCTAGAAATAACACTCGTGGCAAATTAGTTGTTACCCTAGTCAAGAGCGCCCCCATGGAGCAATAGTCACGTGCCTAGTGTAGCATCCCCTGGCGTGCTGCTACTCGTTCGCATTTGCATCTGAGCATCGAAAGGTCGTCAATAAATCGTAAAAATGCTCGTTCTCGTGTTGCGCTTAAACAAAATGCCGTGCGCCCCCTCGAGAAGTGTTGGCCGAAGCGCAGTGGTGCGTTAATGTGGAAGCAGCGCACCCCCGGCCACCCCTTATTATAAGCGCTCGGCAAGTGAACGAGTGTCTGTCCGTCTGGCAGACCACCCCCAACCACTCAACGCAATTCGTCAACCGTACTAGGGCTTGTATCTTTTTCAGCGTTTTTCATTTTTCCAATATACGGAGGCAATAAATCACTCAAGTTTGGACTAGAGCGCTGTGAGCAGCTGAATAAAAAACTTCGTTTCATGTTTTTAATGGGCACCACGCGAAACGAAATTAATTCGTTCATTCAGTTGCCAATTTAAATTAATACATATTAAGTACTACGGACGGATTCCACGCGTTGCGGCAACACTACGTCACCCGCATTATTTAAAATTAGCTTTAATTTATAAAATTAAAAGGAAGAGAAGTTGTACCAGAAGTATTGTATTGTATATTTTAATATATTTGTTGTTGGATGTTTGTTGAAAATATAGCGGCATACATCAGGGCGCGAAATATTTCTCCCCCGGCGAGAACCGGTGTTTTGGGTGCGGTGGTGTTGCCCGCGCACGCCACGCCGAGAAGAGAGTCGATGCAACGCGCCCAAGCAGGGCGAACGACCTCGCGGCGCGCCAGAGTTCAATTACACTCGCCTCTCTCTCTCTCGCCCAATGCGACGCGATGCACACAAGCCGTTGCAGTGCGCCGCGCCGAGATGCAAGTGAACTGAAAATCGTTATATAGGTCCTTCCTCCTTTGGCGAAGAGCAGGCGAGGAATGCGCCGCAATGATAGCCCCGGATAGCCCCGCGCACACACACACACCGAGTTAATCTTTCTTCTGGCGACCGCACACAAACCTCTGTTTCTGCGTGTCGGTATCAATGACAAAACAATTGAACTACTAATATCAGAGATACCCCGGTAGTTAATCTCGCATAAAACCAAACGCCAACGCCATTAAACATCACAGAACAAAGGAAACGACTCAGAGCTTTTTTAATCACTTTTAAATGATCATAATTGTTATCGGTTTTTAATAATAGCCTTCGATCAAAATTCACGTCGCATTCTTTCCGTACATCCGAGTCCTTCCTTCCTGCCATCGCACGTGACTTACGGGTGTGTGCGCAAACTGCCGTTAGCCGCCATGACAGTGCCCGCGCCAAACATTTTCATTGCGACTTACTTACATCATAATAAAAGTCGTCGACGATTTGATTTATATCAGGCGAACGCGTTAGCCGTGAAATAACACGAATTTAGTGCTGCTCACAACAAGCAAGTATTAACACATGTCGGCGATGTTTATTGAACTGCGCGCAAAAAAAAACTGAGGCGGCCATTCGAAAACATTTGAAAGTTTGAAGTTTTAATCGGTTAGGATTTCCACGTGTTAACGCGTAGCGCAGCGTTTAACATTAAACATGTGCGTAACGATTTTCAATCGTTTTTATGTTTTCCAAACATCGCACTACTCAACTACTGAACTCCCAGTTCGAGAGCAGAAAGTGAAACAAAAACCTACTCTCCTCATTCAGTGACGAATGAACGATCTAATTCATTGTGAAACTATGGCAGAAAAAAATTAATGAGGAGACCAACCCACGGAGAGAACAAAGCACAAAGACGGCAAAAAACAAAAGAGGCTTTGTTTTATAAACTTGTACACAAACTTGTTTTTAACTAATAGGTCTGACATCTAGTGTGAACAGAAAAAAAAAAGAAGAAATAATCCCTTAATGCTATGAAAATGACGATAAAAACACGCTTGAAAGTGTGTAGAAATGAGAAATAAACTCATTTTTGATAGCGGCGAGCGTTTTTCGATCGCCTTTTGTGCTCCCCGCGCGACGCAAATTACATTTTCGATATGGATGCGTTCGCGTGCGACCGAAATGGCGTCGTTTTCCCCCTTGTAGCACTGCGTGTTGCATGTAGTGCCACAACTGGCGGCCATATCTAGACACGTTCTAGACACGCTGGTAAACCACGATGAGGGACGCCCTAGCTATCCGAAGGGACATTACAAATATTTCGTTTTCCTAGCAATAGAAGCAATTATGACAACGACGTGCGCACGCGAACCGGATGATACGCCGCCGTCGTGAAAATGGCGCCAGCCTGTCCGCGACGTGTCTCGAACGGAAAACCCTTTTCCACCCGCAACCACGCCAAATATGTACAATGTAAGTACAGGCGTAGCGATACAACGTAGACGTAATGCAACTAAATAGCATTGTATCGTGTCATGAATAAAAGCAAATGGGACAATGTGTAAATTCAAAGAAAGGGGTTTGAGCGCATGTAGGGTTTTTGTAGGGTTGGAGTGAAAGGGTGGAGTTAACAAAGGAGTGTGTGTCTCGACGCGTTGGCGCCCTTCGCCTTCGATTTTGCTTCACCTTATGCGATAGCCCTCACAATAGCGTAAACTAATCCTTTTATCGACTGCCTTCAATCATATAGAATGCTTCAATCCTGTTTGCTAGGGTCTTATCATCCTGCATTGTACCGTATAAAAAAAATTAAAATGTTTTCATGTCAAACGTACAAAAGTAGCCTAAAGCCACCGAAAAGATAACGAGTACTTCCTGTGCTCGGCTGGTACTTTAGTTATGGTATCGCCACTCAAGTAGTGCCCACTTTAGATGACCAGATAATATTTATCCACTTCAATCTTGAACGTCTTCATGTCTTCACCAATTCTAAACAGCTAATTAAGACACTAAACTCAACAACGCGAAGCAGAAAAATGCCCTCTTGACACCAACTTCCTCGACGAACAAGTGCTCGTTGTCGTTATGGTCCCTTTTCGGTGATCATACGCTTAATTAAGACCAAGAGGGCCGCCCTGGTCGCTAGCCCGTGTCGTTCAAGTATTTATATTAAACATTATGGCATCATTGGCAATTTAAACGCGACGTGACATTGCAGGTTTATGTCCACGCCTAATTTTCCAATTTTCATTATGCTGCCACCTCCCAGTTTTAGAGTTAACAAATCCACCCTGTGCATCGAGTTTGAATCGTGTGTACGTGCGCAACTCGGTCAAATGTGGTAGTGTGTCGCCGGAGCAAGGACCTCGGTCGGCTGGCGGCGGCGGTGGCTAGGTGTATGCCGGCGGGGGTGGCGTTGCCGTGACGACTGCCAGCCAACTTGCCATGGCAACCGTCCGGGCAGCACCTTATACGCGCGCCGCCGGGACACACTCGCAGCCGCACCCCAAAATGTATTTTTATCTTTTCATCTCGAGAACGCGTTTCCCCCAAATTCCAACTGAGAGAATTGTTTCTGAGCTTCCACTCGTAAGTACAGCGACGCGTGGTACGCTTATTGTGTCAATTATTCATATTTCGTGTCTAATGAGTTTCCCTTTTGTTCGGCGCCGGGTTAGGAAAAGTAGGAAAAAAACACATCAATAGTAAAAGATAATGGAATCGGCAGGATATATTTAAATGTCCGATAATGACGCGTTTTGCGGTCGCCCCTGCATGTCGCGGCGGCGTTATGACTCATAACCACTACCTTACAAAGCGCCGCGAACTATTTTCGAAATGGGGGAGCAAAATAAACACGGAACTCGCTAAAAACCGGAGAATATTGAAAAGCAGCGTACCGAATTTATTTTTAGAAAATGTTTTCCAATGCGAAAAGTTTGCAGTTGCAAACTGTGATGGAGAAAACTTTCCAGACGAATCGTTTATTTTCGTAGCGAAGAAACAACAATGAAAAAGCGGCGTGAAAACAGCGATTTCGCAAAATTAGGTGACATTTCCCTGTAGAAACGATTAACCAATTTCAACGTTGATAAACATTCTAGTATGCAAAAACATATTTGAACTTTTTGATGTCGGCGTTGCCTTGGGGGCAATTTGCGCATGAGTGTCGTTAACATCTATTTCTGCCGCAACTTCATCTTCACTTCAAACCAGAGCGAACGTTTTCCATTATTATAAATCCCGGAATAACCGCTCCAATAAATCTTCCTGTTTCGAGCTTTTCTGCGACTTCAAACGCGAAGCAAATTTCCTCAAAGTCAAGCCTCTACGTCGAACATTTCAAAGGCACAAAACAACCGTTATACCAGCAAAGATCGCTTCATTCACCGAAGGAAATTATTGCTAATAACGCCATAGTCATACTCGACTTAATGTAGGTACACTTGCAGCTCGCGCAAACACTAATCATCTTTCTATATTCTCCACATTCTAACGTAACAACATCTAAGTCGAATTAAAGTTAAGTTTCGAATTATGGTTGTTCTGTTATATACACGGGTACATGTACTGAAAGTTTTTTTTACTGCTCCATTATGGTACGGTGTACTGTGCGCATGGTTTATGTCTTTTGTTCCGCTTTGCAATTTCACTTCGCTGATGATGATTTTTTTTCTGTGTCGTGGCGGCAATCGCGCTTTACTTCCTTTCGCGAGCAAGCTTCTCTTTTATCTATGCCAACCAGCAAGCGAGCAGCAAGCCCGGCTCCGGAGAGCTCCATTGACAAAGAACTCATCGAACTACCGTTGCACGAGAATACAACCTGCAGACTAGACCACAACCGGTAGAAATATAATGCAGACAGAAGCTGAAGTTGCAAAAATATAAAGTTAACCTAC